GTCAATGGATGGATTTGGCGATGGATTTGATGATGGATGGATGGACTGGGGATGGATGGATTTGGGATGGATAGACTTGTCAATGGATGGATTTGGTATGGATGGATGGATTTGGGATGGATGGATTTGATGATGGATGGATTTGATGATGGAGAGATGGACTGGGGATGGATGGATGGATTTGGTGATGACTGGATGGATTTGTGATGAATGGACTTGGTGTTGAATGGATTGATTTGACAATGGATGGATAGATTTGGTTATGGAGGGATGGCTTTGGGGTGGATTTGGGATGGTAAGGGCAAGGAAAGCCTTGGAGAGATAGAAACCTAAAATTCCGGTGCTTTCATCCTGGGGTCCTACAAGAGGAGTGGGGAATTCCCATCAACTGGGTCCTTTTGGGGGGATATGATGCACATCTGAATGATGATGGCATGGGGTTTTCAGCACATGGAGCATTTGCGATGCAGCTTCGGGATGATATTCAGTCCCAGGAGGGACTTCCTGGGGGTGGAACTGGGAAATCTTCCTTTCTCTTTTTTTTTTTTTTTTAAATTTCAATTTTAATTTTTGGTTTGGGGTTGGGGTTGGGTTTCTTTTTGCAGCTTCCCAAGCCCACCACTGCCTTCTTCCCGTCCTGGCTGCTTTTGGCAATGGTAGAACTCACACTGGTGCGCTCGCAGGATCCGGTGGTTCTAGACTTGCCAACTACAGCCCCGGGAAACGCCACGGACACAACCCCCCTGATGCCCCCAGCACCTATGGCTGTAGGGAGGGGGTTGTTACAGCGTCCTGCTCCATTTGTGTGTTCCAATTCTGGATCTTTAGGGGGTGCCCAGCCATGGGGACAGTGGGTTTGGGTTCCAGATGTGCTGTTTTTTTGGAGGGTTTTGGGGGCAACCATGGAAATGTCCTCATAGAGGGGAGGGTCCTGCTGGAAAGCGGTCATTGGAGCATCTTGGCCTTGTGTCCCCACTTGACTCCAGGCATTAAGCGCTGATCCATCCCTGCGACATGAGGAGGGGGGGTGGATTAGGTGGCTCCTGCCCCACATCTTGCCAGTGCCAGCTTATGGGGTGGGAAGGAAACTGAGGCATGAGCGATGCTGCCATGTGTCCCCACTGCCATTTGTCTCTGCCTGTTCCCAAGTGCAGGAGGGACGATGACAGCATTTTGGGGTGGGGGGGTGGAGGGTGGGGTTTGCACAGTGGGGTGGGGAGAGGGGGGTTCCTTGCTCCTGGCTGGGTTTGGATGGGGGGTGGTGGGGATATGTAGGGCAGCGCCGGGTGATTACGGAGCTTTCGGCCATAAGCCTGCAGAGATTGGATCATGTGGGATTAGAGTGAAGGCTGCACGCTCCCAACCTCCTCACTGCGCCGGGGGAGGGACGAACGGAAGGAAGGATGGAGATGGATGGGGGGTCCACATTGCCTAGTGGGGCGGGTGGGAGTGTGGGGAGGGAGCACAGGCTGTCTGTCTCTGTCTGTTTGCTTGTTGCTTCCATCGTCCATCTGTCCAGCCACATATCAGTCTGTCTGTCCTTCCATCCATCCACTCAGCTATCATCAGTAAGGCCACCCACCCACCCCCCTGTCTGTCTGTCCAGTCACTGAGCCATGCATCTAGCTGCCTATCCATCCGCCCGTCCCCATATCCATCCATCGAACCAGCCTGCTGTGGCTCCATCTACCAGTCTGTCTGTCTGTCCAGCCATTTATCCATCAATCCAACCACTGCTCCATCTGCTGGTCTGTCCATTCATCTGTCCGTCTGCCCATCCATCCAGACAGCCTTCGAGCCCTCTGCAAGTCTTTTTGTCTGTCCATCTGTCCACCTGTCAAGCCACTGGTCCCTCTATCACTGTCAATCTATCCACCAAATCACCCGTCTGTCCATCCATCCCAACAGCTATTGAGCCCTGCATCAGTCCATCTGTCCATCCATCCATCCATCTAGCCTTCTGTGAGTCCTTATGTCCATCCATCCCAACAGCCACTGAGCCCTGAGTCCGTCTGTCCGTCCATCCATCCACTGATCCCTCCACCAATGTGTCCATTCATCCAGACAGCCACTGAGCCTTCTATGAGTCTGTCTTTCTGTCCGTCCATTCATCAAGCCGTTGACCCTGTCCATCTTGTCCATCCATCAAACCATCCGTCTGCCCATCCATGTCCCCGGGGCTCAACTCTGACATTTCCCTCGAGGGCATCAGAGGTGGAGCATCCTCTCCAGCCCCACCTTCCAACAAGCCCCACCCCAACAAAAACCCCACCCATCCCCATAGTCCCCACCCCCAGCAATCACCCGAAGGCACATGGGATCCCCCAGCACCCAAACACTGGTGGGCATCACCCCAGAGACCCCTGTTAATATGTCCCTTCCCAGAGACAGCAGAGTTTTTGAGGTCAAATCCTGTGATTTGGGGTTGCTGTGCACAGTGCAGCACTGGGGCTAAAAGTAAAGGCAGCAAACCCAGCTGGGTCACAGTGTGGGCCACCCAGGGTTGGAGAGACTCTCTAAAACTCAGACCCTCTCAAAACCCAGGGATCTTCCCCAAGCCCAAGGCTGCGCTCCCTGAGATGGAAGGGAATAAAAGTGTCGTGTGCTGGGTGAGCTGCCCCAGCAGGAGGCCCCGACCTGCTTATTAAAGCCTGATTAGCACAGATTAAAGGCTGGGGACAACGTCTGCCAGGCTGAGCCCCCACCATGAACCCATTGGGGAACCCCAGCCTGGAGGGGTTCCCATAGAGCAGGGCTGGGACGTTTGGGTTGCTTTGAGATTGACTTTGGGATCGCTCCCCCTGTGCCTCATCCTCCTTTGCTTCCATCTGTCCTTCTATCCATCCTCCACTCCACTTTGTCTTCAGGCTTGCAAGAACTGGGCTCTGATCCTACAGAGGATCCTACAAGATCACATCGGAGCCAACGGTCCTGCCCCCCATGCTCAAATAAAGCTGCTCAACCTCAGTGCTGCCGTCCGGCTCCTCCTTGGGATGCTCAAACGATGGGGATAATGGGGGCACAGCGGGGATGAGGTGGCCTTGATCCCATCATGGCATGGAGTCGACTCCAATGGTTGCTTTTGGGGCGCCGCTCACCGTGGTGCTGATGGAGGCACACGAAGGATGAAGCTTACATAGCTCAAAGGAAGGACTTCAACTCAAAAACCACCCCCAAATCCAAAACCACATCGGGGACCCCCTCTGAGAGCCTGGGGGGAGATGGCGAGTTACCCCAAAACCCTCAAAAAAGCCCCAAAAGAGAAGTGAGAAGCGTGGGTAGACACATTTGTAACAATTTATTGAATAATAGACACTGGGAAAACAATAGGGGTCCATGCTCTGCTACTTGCCTGGTTTTGTCTCTTTGGGGGGAGGGCAAAGGGGACTGCTGGGACTAAAAGAATGTCATCGCACCGCCCAAGGAACACGGACTTGAAAGCCACCGACATCTTCACAACGACGATAAAAAATAATAATTAAAAAAAAATAATAACAAACTGGAGAAACCAGGGCTGTTTTCTATGGAAATATTTCCCTCCCCTCATTTAAAGTACAGAAGAAGTGTATACAAAGAGCATTTGATATTTTCCTTATAAAACAAGTAAATACAAGAATCTGAAAACTTCCTTGAAGGCGGAGCAAAGACGCGGAGAACTTCGTTAATGGCCACTTGAACATAACAATAATTAAAAAAAATATTAAATACCACACACAACCAGCACGCACCATGGGGGGCTTCCGGGGTGCTTTTGTCCCATTGAAAAGTCCTGGAGGATCTGTCCCCAAAATGCCCCCGTGGGCTGTCCCCCCTCCTCTGGGAGACGTTGGGTGACGTGGGTTGGGTTGAGTTGAGTTGGGTGGCAGCAGTAGGAGATGCTCAAGGAGCAGGGCTGGCACGTGGCTCCAGAGGGGTTCCCCAAAAGGGTTGAATTGGGGTTTCCAAGTGTCCTGGGTTGGCAGTGGGGTCGTGGCTCTTTGGCAAAGGACGGGGGCAAGTGCTGGTCATATTGTCCCCGAGTCCCCGCAGCCCTCCCGGCACAGCTCCGGAGGCATTTCCGCTCCGTTCCAAATTGACAAGAAGAGGAAATAATAATTATAATAATAATAATAAAGAGAAAAAAAAAAAAAAAAATCACAAAAAAAAACAAGAACAAAAGAATTGAAATGGCAGCGTTTCCAGAGCAGAGAAAGAAGAATGTGTCTCCAGTGTGCACCAGGGGAGCCAAGCACGGCGGTCATCGAGCTGTCCTCGCGCCCGCACGGGGCTCCGGGACCGGCAGCATCGAGATCTGTCCCCACAGTCACAAATGCATTTTCCCAAGAAGAGCCTTGCCCGAGTTTCGTTATTATTATTTTTTTTTCTTTACTTTCCTTTTTTTTTTTTTTTTTTTTTTAATTTTTTTCATATAAAAGTCCACGTTAAAATCTTCGAAACCTAATTCACCCCCCGTGGGAGCATCCATGCTCTGTTGTGGGAAGAAAAGGGGCGCAAGGAGTTGTATTTTTTTTTGCGTGTGGTTTTGTTTTCCCTCCTTTCTCATCTCTTCAGAATGGAAGTCCCATCTGCGTTGGGCTTCTCGCTCCAGTGTGATCAGTGGTGCTGTAAAGACACACTTAACACACGCATCCTTCCTTATTCTTCGTTAAAAACAGTCAGCAGAAGACTCAGTGCCACCTGATTGCATCTCCGGATAGGCGTAAAAAAAATTTTATTTGCATTAAGAGACGAGGAGAAAAAAAAAGAAAAAAAAAATAAAATAAAAGGAAAAAAATAAAAACCCCTCAAAAAAATAAAAATAAATCATCGTGATCCCGCTGCGGGTTATGGTCACTGTTCCAAAGTTACCACTTCCACCGCCTGCCCATCCACGGTGACGGCGCTGTCTGCTATCCGTGTGGTGACCGGTGCCATCGCCACCTGCACGGGGCCGTTGCCCTGCGCCAGGCTGGTGACCACGGTCTGGTACATGCTGACTGGGATCTGCACGAGGCCTGCGGAGACACAAAGGAGAAATGTGAGAGCGATGAGGGAACGCTGTTCTGCCAAGGAACGGGGTTGGTGAGGTTGAGTGTCGTGGTGCGGGCCATAAAGGGGTTGTGTTGGATACGGGTGGAGATGTGGCGGAGCTTTCAGGGTCCTTTGGTTCTTGTGGGAAGTCAAGGATTGAAGAAGGCAATGGTAGCAGGGAAGGTGGCGGGTGGGAGGAAGGAAGAATCATCCTAGAATGGCTTGGGTTGGAAGGAACCCCAAAGATCGTTAAGTTCCAACTGTCCTGCCACAGGCATGGCCAACAACCCCTAAAAGACAATGGTGGGTAAGGGAAAACAAAAGTGATGTTGGGTAGGGGCAAAGGAAGACAGTGAGGGGTAGGGGTGAAGAAAGGATCATCACAGAATCATAGAATGGCATAGGACCTGAAGGATCACAAAGTCTTAACCTCCTGGACACAGGCAAGGCTACCAACCTCCAGAATATGATGGTGGGGGGCAGGGGGAGAAGGAAGATGGTTGCTAGGGGAGAAGATGATGGTTGCAAGAAAGCCAAGGATAGGGTAAAAGACAATCTCCCACCCCATGACACACAGATGGTATCACACCCACACCATCATGCTTGTGTAATTATTCAGACTTAATGGAGCCCAGCCCTTATAAACGTTAGAGAAGTCCCATAATCAACCCCCATCACACTGTGTGAGATGAGAAGAGGCTCAGAGGTAGAAAGAAAAACTGCAAGAAGGAAAAACCTACCACTGAAACCCCAACTGCCCGGCAGCACAGGAGGGCACAGCCCTGAAAATCCAACGAGATCAGACCAAGCTTTCCCAAAACGGCAGCAGGATCCCCTTTGGTTCAGTTCTCTGTGGCAGGCAGGGATCTCTGTCCTGCCAAGGGCACTCATTGAATAACCAGAGGCAGCAGAGTGCAGCTCGGTGTCCCCAGATAACTCGCTGCACACAGACAGGAAAGCTTAGGAGTTAATCATACTGCCCAGGTGGGTGACCCCGGCCGAGCTCAGCTCTCGGGATCTCGTGGCACTCTACGGATAGGGACATTTTGCAATGCCTCAGCCAGAGGGCTGCCCCATCTCCAAAAGGGTGATCTACAGTTTTATGCAGCTCGCAGCCCCATGAGGAACCACCTTCCTTGCGTACGGCTCAACATCAACAGCTACAAATGACGTGGAGGCAGCTGAAACACAGAGTTCCTGAGGTGCTTTCTAATAGGGAAGAGTTTTAGGCTACAAAGCATTGAAACAAGAACTCGTGCTCAGCTCTCTCAAAGGCAACCCCCAATAAGATCCTCAAGATATTCAGCACAGTTCTGTAAGCAGGTTCTGGCACAGAGTGGGAGATGTGGCCTGGGATGCACTCAAAATCCCTGCTCCAGACCAATGACCCAGCTAAGCCTTTCGGGTGATTCAGGTTGTTGACCCAAAGGAATTCACCACAGATGAGTCTATTCCCCACAGCCAACTCAAAACGAGGGTCACCATAAAGCAGGGTTCAAAATCTGATCCCTCCATGATGTTTAAACACGGGTTGGCCATAATAGGGGCACTGTTAACAACAGGCATTGCAAGAAACGATGATGAGATGGAGCTCTTTGAGATGACTCTGCTCCCCGTGGCCAACCCAAAGATGAGGGTCACCAGCAACGCTGAGCACGCAGCATTAAAAAATCTGATCCCTCCACAAGTTGGCCATAATAGGACCATTGTGAAAGACAGGTATTACCAAAATATGGCAAGATGGAAAAACCAAAGGGGGGTTTTCTTTGGGAAAGATGAGCCTGATTTGGCCAAGGTTTGACCGAGGCTAACTACAACTTGGATACATTGCGCGTAAGAGCCGGGAGGTCTCTGGTCTCTGCGAGAGACAGCGATGCACAGCTCCCTTTCTGCATGGGATTAAGCTAAATCGTCTCAGCATCTGACGCAGTGGCCTTCCTGGCAGGAGTGGTGACAAACCAAAGGAGGAGAGGGCGAGGGCTGGAAAGTCTGCTGTGTATTAAAGCAGAGATGATCGCCCTTGGGAGAGAGGCGATTAAACCACTGAGATGCTGTAATCAGGTCTAGGATTGGCCCTGTGCTGCATCTGCTCAGACCTGTGCCCTGATTAGCCCTAATCTAGCTGGCATATGTTAATCTAAAGCATGGATTTCAGACCCTTTCAATTGTATTAAAAACAGGAAATCCATTAGACAAAATAAAATTACAAAAAAAAAAAAAACAAACACAAAACTTTCAAGTCTCTGGAAAATACACATCTTCCAAAAAAAAAAACTCGAGTCGTGCTGGGGTGGAAAAGCCCCAGTGGAGAGACGGAATTGGGCTCACAGCAGCCCCAGAGCTGCTCCTACCTGTGGACAGGAGCCAGCAGAGGTGATGGATAATGCACAGAGCAGTGAGATGACACAGCTGGGCTGGAGCTGCCCATTTGGGATTTCCTCCCACCATTTGGCAGAAACGATGATGTTCATCTCTACCCTCAGCAGGAGGCTCTGGATTGCACCCAGGTCATGCTTTTGCTTACCTGCAGCCTGCCAGGACAAGGATTTTGCATTTGTTTCAGCAGAGAAGAGGTTATGGCTTGCAGAAGGGGGAGAGTTAGGTTCTGGCCATGGGATTCTGAGGCCAAATATCATATAGTGGCTGATACAGGCACCTTACCTGACACGGAGAGGGGATCAGCAACATCAGAACTGTTCTGATCCCAAACTGCAAGTGGGTGCATTAAACCACCATTCAAAGGGCTCTGGGGGAGAAGAGTAGGAGGTTGAGATGATTGGCCATCCAGTATCCAGAGGATGGGGACAACAGAGCCAGTTTCTGCTGGTTCTTATGCTTCTTCGATATCACAGCAAGTGCAGAAGGAAGGCACAGCCAACCAGGTGAGCTGGACCACCACACAGATCAATACTCAAACATGCAGAATGAGTGGAAGAAACTGAAGAATGGATGATCTCAAGGGAACCTCTCACACACTCAGAGATAAATGTCCAGTATTATCTTCCCAGAGATGGGCCCCTCTGATGAATGCTTTGGAGCATCCTTCTGCACCATGGGGAGCACGGACAGCACAACCTTATGCCACACTTTTCTGCCTGGAGCTCAAACAGAGCACACAAGTGAAGTTTTGGATGGTTGAAAGAGAAGAACCAGCCCCATTCTTGACTGCTGTCACCATGCTGAACCTGAGCTTGGAAAAGCAAACCATCTCCTCTTCCTTCATGAAGTGCAAAATCATCTTCCTTGCTAGCATCAACGTGAACTGATCTCCTGCAACATTCTGGAAGCAGCCTCAGGACTTTGAGGGAGCAAAAGGCAAACTGAGAGACCATTCTGAGAAACTAACTGAGAAACTAATGCTGGTTTGACTCCAGCATTTGGGACCTGGAGTCTGATGCAGCACTCAGAAGCAATGCACTGACAAACTGCTCTTTGGATTTCTTTTATGGGGCAAAACATCAGCGCTCACTTTGCAGACCCTCACAGCACAGCATCATCAGGTTATCTTCAAATTTAGGCAACATAACCTAACCAAAAGACAAGACCTCAATGGAGTGTTGTATGCCTTCTTCCAACAGGGAATCTAAAGCCCACTTCAGATCAGCAGAAGGCAAAAGCCATGGCCAGTTGCACCCAATGCTGCTCTTGGGGGATCTACTGGCACCAGAAACATCCTCAGCACTGAGGAGATGAAGCAGATCCCACACAGTGGATGTGTTAAGTTGGCACAACTTGCTCTGTTCTCTCAGACATCAAAGGGATGAGTGCTGAAAGTTGTCTGGTTTGTTGTTTCCAAGCATGGCAGAGACAGCAGAACACTGATCAGCCTCACAGATCTACCTGACCAACGGAGAGCTCTGAAAGCCTTACAGAGCTCAGGCCAACGACAGAGAAGGCTGAAAGGAATGAAAACTTCAATTTTAATTCTTTGTCTCCAGCTCATCCACAGACCTTTGGCTTCAGTCTTCCTACTTAGCAGAGGGGAAATGGGTACAAACTCTCTGCTTAGCACGATCCTGCTTCAAAACAACCAGAGTGCACATTTAAATTTAAGCATGGAACTCCGTTGCTAGAGGATCTCCAAGCAACAAAATGTTTGGCAGCACAGAGAAAGTGAAACAGCACCAGGAAAACCTTGGCCTCCATACACAAGACAGCCTACAAACCCAACAAAAGTGATGCAGAGAAGAAGAAAACAACCTGGCCATCTTCTACAGAGTAGGAAAGAGTAGGATACCAACTTGAGGCACAGCATGGATATTAAGTGAGGGATAATAAACGAGAAAAAAAAAAAGACAATCAGTAAACATAAGGTTTGTGAAGCTCCAGAACTTGGGGAAATTGCAAAGTCTCCATCTTTGGCTATCCTTCAGAGGCAGGTAAGACTTCTTTTCTTCATGTAGAGTCCCAGCTTAGCAAGAATTGGAAGACCTTCAGCTTCATCTCCCTTATTCCTCGGTCTCGCCTCTATAGGAGAAGGCAACCCACACCACAAAGGGACCTGGGTTACTTCATCCCATACAAAGTCCAAGAGAACATACAACCCCACCCCAAAGGTATGAACTAAAGGACACCACTCTCAGTTGCCAATTGACCAACGTGGGCCCTGGAAACGATTCAGGGCTTTTAGGTTGGGTCTGGGTGGTGATTTGGGTTTCTTTTTGTCTGTTTCTTTTTCAAAGTGGTGCTTGATTTGGCTCATATTAGGTTAGTTGGTTGTCTTTTTGTGGGTTTTTTTTTTTTCTTACTTTGGGTTTTTATTGTTTTGTTGTATGTTTGGTTTTGAAGCTGTAATACTGTAATACTTGCGTGCAAAACGACCGATTCACAAGAATCCCATCCCCAACCCGTTAAGCAACGCTCATGGATTTCTCCAGAGCATTTCTCCAGCACACGTGGGAGAAGGAAGGATCCAGGAGGCAGCCCAGTGCCCAACCCTTCCCTGACACAGCTATGAGTGAGGCCTTTGAGGAATAATGACCAAGACCTCCTCCACCAATGGTACTTCACCACCACCTCTACGCACCTCAGGCTGTGCAGCCCTTTCCTGACCCACCAGAAGCCCTCCACCTGCAATCATCCACAGCAAAAGGAAGAATTGACCATTATTTTTAACACTGCAAGTGATTCACCTGAAATGTCAGGTCTTCCACCCAAAATATTGGGTCTTTCATTCCATCTTTACATTGATGGAGTGGAAAACTCCCATTCTGCTTCCCTGAAACGTTGTGTCTTCCATCCAAAATGCTGGCTCTCCCATTCCGTCTGTATGTTGATGGAATTGATTGGAATTGATAACTCCTATTTCATTCTCTTTTTTTTTTTTTTTAATTAAAAGTTACTAAAAAATACTAAATGGGAAGGGGAAGGGTGCTGGGGAAAGAAGGCAAAGCAGCAACTTGGTGTCCCAACGGATTAGCCTCGTGCCTTCAGCCCTTGTGCCCTATATAAGGTGACCTGCCTCTCCCTCTCCTCTTGGTGATGGTTTTTGAGCTCGACAGCAAGACCTGGGAGGAATAAAGCTGTTCCCACACATACAAGTACTGGGGTCCCCACAGTGAGCCGTGCTAAGCCCAAGGAGGAGGAGAAGTGAGGAAGATGCGAGGAGGAGGCCGAGCATGCCATGCATCTACCTGTGTAGGGGAAGCCTTTTTTACCATGCTCCAGAGATGAAAGCTTAATGAATAACCCTTCTAAGCTTCCTTGATCAGCTGGCTTTGCTGTGGAGTGAAGGGCACACCTGGTAAGATTAGCAGTCTATCGTGGTCAATCAGAGAGAGGAAACAGAGGTAAAAAAATAGAGAAAGTACAGGAGCCCCTAATGCCACTCTACCTGGAATTCAGTCCTGGGGTTTGTTTCTGTTGATATGGAAGAGAGGAACACCTTTTGAGCAGAGCAGAGCTGTGTCACCTGTGTGCCACCAGTGCAAAGCTCCCCAGAAACCACAGGCAGGAAACATCTACAGATAAATTAAATCTGTTCCTCTTATGAAGCATAAGACATTAAATTCATGGTAGCAGAGGCAGACAGTGTAGCAATATCCCACCATATGGGATTCTGTTTTGCCATAAAAACTTTGCTAACTTGCTTGCTATGTGTTTAACACCCACATGGGCTCTTCCAATGGGACAAATGTTGGACTTGATGTGTCCTTCCCAACTCAGGATATTCTATAAAGGGTATATAGAGAGTGACTCTTACTCTTAAAACAGCCTCTATCCTGTATTTTCTGTAAGGTTTTATTAAAGGGTACTGGGAGAATGAAGGCAGAGTACCACCTAAAAGTGATAAAATACTGTATTACTTCAACCCAAAAGACTAAAACCCGTTTTCAAAAGTCACCTGAATTGAAAAACTTCCCTTTTTTTTTTCTTCTTTTTTCTTTTTTGAAGCACATATTCTAACAAATTATCTTTGAAAATCAACAATACTGGGAAGACAGTCGCATATAGAAAGAGATGCAACGTCCAGAATCCAAGAGGCTACACCAGCAAAGCACCCATGGGTGCTCTCTCATGTCTGCCTTCCTCTGCCATGCGGTGCACCTACTGTATTTAGGTTTCTGCTACCATCTTTAGCCCATGGTTTCTTAAAACTGATGGGCGCTGAAAGCGAGGCTGTGGGGTTTTCTTCCCTTTCCACTGCTGATTTAGCTCTGCCTTGAGCCCGTGACCTTCAAAAAGATGAATTTTACAACTCCAAGGATCACAACGCCCCCCAACAGCCCCACCTGTGGTTGACTGAGTGCTGTTAAAGCAGCCCTCTTCACTAATTATTTAATTAAGTGATGGTTATAAGGGAGGTCGGCTTGTGTACGGCCAATGGGACGGGGCTGCAGGATACGAACCCACCCCATTGCATCTCCAGCCCAATGCTCCAACCTCAACCTATATCCAAAGCCTAGTGGCTTCCCCTTGAAAGTGTAATAAGAAAGGGAAGGGAAAAAAAAAGAAAAAAAAAAAAGAAGAAGAAAAAGAGACACAAAGCCCTTTCACCCCCCAAGAAGCACCACAGTGTCAGGAACCAAAATCAACTATGTTGGCTGTGCCATTGATAGCCAGATCCCCATATTCAACAACTACTACCAGGAAAAGCCACTCACCTGATAAACTCTCTGCTAGGCTCCACTTGTAGCCTGAATAGTCTGCTGCTAGGATGCCTGACAATGAAATGCAAGTGTAAAAGACTGAACACATGTTGCAGTCATGGGGGGCATTGGGTAGGGAAAACACTTGTAGGCTAGGTTTAATTCATTATCCACACTTAAGTAATACCCCAATATTAGTGTAATACACTTAAGTAATACCCCAATATTAGGCACTGTAACTTGAATATTTTTGACTCTATACAGGATATTATCTGCAGACGTGGGAGGCACAGCGAGATACTTGCAGATATTTGTAGTGCAGTTGGCAAACGTTGAGATGAATGGTTTAATTGGACCAGAGAGGACCAAAGAGAAACACAGAATGGAGAAAATCTGTCCTGGGGAAGCTCCAGCCACCTCCAAGAATGCTCTCCACTAACCAGGGATGTGAAATGAATGAGAAGTGGCTGCCAAAGAGGCGTTTCTATGCGTCCCCAGAGCATTTGGTGAGGAGATTCATTGAGTCTTCATTGGTCTCCAAGAGGAGCTTGGTGTGATTTTAGGGCTACAAGGGGCTGGGATCTAAATGAGTTTCCCAAGTTAGCACGCTGCCCCATAGATCACACGTGAACATGGACATTAGCATACACTACAGAGCATTTAGCACATGGGAGTATAAAGCAGCTATTGTTCTGCAGTAAGGTGATATGTAACCAGATAGGCTCTGGCTTCAGCTAAAAACCATTTTCCCAGCGCTTTGCTGACTCGTTCAGCAGGAACCTTGCTGCTGTAACAGAGTGCACATTCATGGCCAACGAACGGGATCGAAACGATGGGTTCTGGCGACAAAATGGATCTGCAAAAGCATCCCTGCTGCAAACTTGGGTGCAAGGGGACCCACTGGACCAAGCACAATGGTCCGTCCATTGCTCTCAGCTCCCAGGAAAGGCAGAATGAATGAGAGCAGGAGGAGGTGGCTGGAGAACCCGCAAAGTCCAATCCTTGTTCATTGCATAGAATCAATCATAGACTCGTTAAGGTTGGAAAGACCAATAAGATCATCCAGTCCAACCATCAACCTCATGCACATGACCATTAATTTGCAGCCCTCAAATCTCTCCATACTCAGCTCCTATTTAGAAGAGTGACTTAAGACTCTTATTTTTTGCACTAAAACCACACAAAAGTCCTCCAAGAAGATTTAGTCAAGGACACAATGACATACCTGGGGTAAGAGCAACAGGAAGCATCCAGCAGGTTGGATCTGAACGCTGCAGAACTGAATACGAACACCACTGTCTGCTGATCCCTATGACTTCAAAGGGGTCGAGCATGCTATATTTACACCAGCAATAAAAGTGTTTCCATTAGCTCCATGTTCACCTTTTAAATGCAACAGCCCTATCACACACACACCAATTAGAGCCCCCTAATGCTCGGGAGCACAGAGCTTTCTTTTTTTCCTTTTTGAAGGGAAGAGATGAGGCAGCTCAGGGGAATAGAAGAGAGCCTTTCACTGCTGAGGGCTCTCCTTCAAAGCTACCACAGGGCAGAGGGAACAGATGGCCATTTCTGAGGGCTGACGTGAAATGAGGGATTGTTTCAGGCCGTGTCCTGGTGGACAACATATCGACACTACAAGAGCACTGGTAGTGGTTTCTGGTAGAGAAACCAGAAGGGATGACGTGGGGACAAAGCTCCTGACCTGATCAGAGCACCTCTCCTTCCTGCTGGAACAGGAGGAATGGAGGCAAATTGCTGACAGCAAGGAGGAAAACTCACAAAGGGTAAAGTTTTGCTATGATCTGTGAGCAACAAACAATGCCACAATTCACTTCAAGTCAAACTCTCTCCCTTCTTAGAGGCTGTCTTCTCCAAGCAAACTGCTGGGCATGTGCTAAAGAGTCCAAATGGCCGTGGGTCTACTGCACTCCTCCCCTGGATCACAGAGGAGTCCACATTAACCACCAGAAAACATAACAGAGAAAGAAATCTATACGCATTAGAGAATAAACTCAACCCAAGGATACCATGAGGGTGGGAGGAACAACTTCAACTCCATCTTTGGAAAAGATCTGTAGGAAGTCACGTCAGACAGAAGCGTTGGGCTTTTTTTTTTTTTTTTCCTTTCTTGGAACTTGTTTTGCAGCTTTACCTCGACTCACAGAAGCACGTGTGCTCCTGGAAAGCTTTGCAGTGCTGTGAGTATCAATGTTCCAACCTGCTGCTGGAGCCCAGAAGGCACCATCCTGCTCTGGCGTGAGGCTGCAGCACAGGAAAATAGGGCGATTCCCTGCAATCTTCCTGCCCAGCTGTTGACGAGCTGCGGATTACCACTGTCACATGAGCTGCTTTACAGCAAAGCCAAGCTGTCTTCGGGAGCTGAGAAGGTCACTGGGAGACAGGGGCCGCCAGGGACAGAGCAAACGCCCTCGATTCACTTCCCAGGGGGACTGCAGGTGGAAAGCATGGCGTTCCCTTCTGCTCAGAGGGCAAAGAGAAATGGTTCTGCCTTAAGGGCTCCTTACAGGGACAGCTTTACCTCTTTCTTGTGCACACCATCAAACCTTTGTGCAGCGCCACCCAAATTGCCATCTGCCTGTCTCTCCAAGCCTTCACGCCATCCACTGCCACCTCAAAGAAGAAATAAATGAATCCTTCCTCAAAGGAGTGGCAAGAAAACAGCCTTTCAACCCCAAAAACCAGAACAGCATGGCTGAGGAATGGGTTTCACTCAGAAAAAAAGTATTTGGAAAAACAGAAGTCTGAAGGTCTCCGGTGCAGCCTCTTGGGGCCATGAATTAAAACCCTCCATCTCCATCATCCTGCCACTGGCAGGGCTGGTGGGCAATGAGCACATGGCTGCAAGAGAGCAGCTCAGGATGGGGCTCTTTACTATGCCCCAGAGGCATGAGACAGATGGGGCTGTGCTTTTAGGCTTTGCAACAAGTCTCTGCTATGGGGAACCAACGGAGAGGATAAATACGGCCACAAAACGATCCTTTAGACATGCTCAGAAATAGAAGAGGGAGGAAACTTTGCTCTAATGTACGAACCTAATGAATTCATAAGCAAACAGACCCACAAAACGTGCTTTGGTGTGCTCAGGAGAGCCGTGCTTAGGAAAACACAGCCTTGTGGCATAGCTTATAGGGTATTGCTCCTTGCAGGGGGATGCCCAGTGGTGGGGGGAGGCTCACAAACCCCCATATCATTTCATAAAATGCCTTGCGTCGTTACGACAGCTTGCTGGGATGTCAGCCAGCTTCCCATTTGGATCAGGTTGCACCCTACGCCCGCTGACAGACATTAAACCCTGGAGCTTCGTGCTGCCCTGGAGTCAGGCAAGCCTCTGTTCAATCACTCAGACCCCAAAGTCCAGCAGGGAAGGGTATCCTAACCTTGTAGCCATAGGTCTACCTGCCAGCAAGGCGAAGAGTGAGCCCTGCTGCCATGAAACAGCAGATTGCTGTGATGCAGGGGTGAGGGGGGATTAGGAGCCCCTCTCCATCTGCCCTGATGCAGTGTAATCGCAGTGCTCACTCACTCCCCCAGACCCACGAATAGCATGGGGGTAGCAGTGGGCTGCTACAGGGAGAAAAGTGGAAACGTGGCCACAGAAAGCGCTCACCTGTCGCTATGTGAATGGGGATGAGGGAATGCTGCTCCAAGCAGGATGCAAGCTGAAATCTGAACTGAGAGATGTTCAAGGTGCCCTGCATCATCACCCACTGCTCATCCCAACTTGCAGGGTCAGCTGGGATCAGGGTGCAAAAGATGCAGTGGATAAGATATGAGCTCTGCTCTGCTCCAGGAAGGGTGAAGTGGAATCTCAGGTGGGATTGAAGCACATGGTCCTACCCCTGGTACCATGCTCTGGTTTGAGAAGGCAGCAGTAGCCCCAAGGAGGACCTGCTCTGCCCACAGAGCCTCTGGTTGGGGTTTGGGGGTGGGCACAGAGGAGCACTGCAAGTGCAGCTCTTTGCACAGAACCTCTGGGTGAGGCTGGGCATGGAGAAGGATGCATGGAACAATGACTCACCGACATCTGCTAAGGGTCAGGAGGAGCAAGCAGCACCACAGAGCTGCTGTTCTGCTCCATCCGTGCCCTTTCCTTTAGGGCAAGAGCTACAAATAGCAGCACAGTGCTGAGGAGGTGCAGCCCATCCCAATGCAGAGCTCCTTCACTTCTCATTCCAGCGTTTTACATCCCAGTCCTGCACTGGGAAGAGTGGCAAACCAACCAGGAAATGTTTGTCTATCCAGCCTCGAGACATATTTAGGGAGACAAGCTAAGCATACTGCTTGCCTTTCCTTTCCCATCCAAATACAAACCCATCGCCTTTAGATAAAAACTCAACAAAGAATTGGCATCTCCAGCTCTTGCATGAACACCAAAAAAACCCCAAAGTACAAAAAAAAAAGATAAGATTTTCTTTCCAACTGACCCAGGATGCCTGCATGTTGGCACTTGGGTGAACACGTGTGGGATCCCCCAAATAGGAGCTTCCCAATGCTGTGTTCAGAAGGCAGATGGATGGACAGCGTCATCTAATCTGAATTTTCCAATAAGAATTCAAGATGAGCAGAGAGTTTCAGCTTTCTGCTACAAGCACAAAGCTGGGAAGGAAGTGCAAGAGCAAAACTGCTTTAGAGGGCTGCAGAAGGCATCAAACAGCTGTAAATTTGAGAAGAGAAGCTAAAGAAGCCCTGCTCGGCTCAGAGTCAATAGCAGCCCTGTTTCCTCTCCAAGCCCAGAACAAAAGGGAACATATTGCAACCATGCCCAAAGAGGAGGGCTGCTATTTCTTTAAATGTAATGTTAATGCCTTGTAATCAGCTTTAATTTTTAAACAGGCCCAGCCCTCCTGTCCATTTCCCCTAATTCAGGACACGTGGAAGGTAAATGGCCTGTGCTTAAAGCAGGGCAGTGACAGCTGGGGAGCCTGTAAGTCCCAACTGCTGATTGCAGGGATGGATGTCAGAACTCACCAGGGGAGGGGAGCTGGGAGGTGCTGAGGCTGCTGGAAGGTCATTGAGGCGCTGGGAGATGGGGGTCAGGCTCATTGGCTGGCTGGGAGCTCACTGAAACCAATGGGGGCCAAAGAAAAGCTCAACACTATCCAGTAGTAAAGGACTTGGCAGTGGATCTCTGCCCCATTCCCACTCCCCACTGGGAATGGCGGTGGGGTATCTTTTAGGGACAGCAACAGATAAAGCCAAAGATTTCCTTGTGTCTCCTTCTTTATGAGCTCAGATGCATTCTGGAGCTTAAAAAAAAATAAATCAGACTTCATGTGAGATTTGTGCAAAGGAATCACAGAATCATTACAGCTGGAAAAGGGCATCCAGTCCAACCATCAACTCATCCCCACTATGCCCACTCATAGAGTCATTACTGTTGGAAAAGGCCTCCAAGATCATCCAAGTCCAACTGCCACCAACTGACCACCAATACTGCCCACTAAGCCACATCCCTGGGGACAAGGAAATGAAGAAAGCAAAAGCAAAAAGAACCCACAAAACTCAAAACGGCTTTTCCTTGCACTCCACTCTTCGCCAACAGGAGACCAAGACATCCACCTTACAAAAACATCTTCTCCCCAGAAATCAAATGATACGAGTATCCCTACTCAAGGAGAACAAACTGCACCCAAAAATCACTATTTTATGTCTTCACCACGGTGGCAATAAGCCAAGGGATGCCCTAAAGGCAGCAACATGGCATCCAACTCAAAGGGGATCAAACGTGTGCTGGGAGCAGCCTTGGTCCCTGCGTTGGTGTAGCAGAACCTGGCTGGTAGGAGAAGCATTGAGCACAGCACGAGAGGGAGATGTCTGAGCCACTATTTTTAGCCCTGGTTGGTGGGCAGACAAATCCTAATCATCAGCCAAGATGTCCAAGCAAAGCCCCACGTCACACGGCAAAGATTAGGGCCCAAGAGAGATGCAGGACAGCAGCAGAATGCAGGAGGGCCACCATAGTGGGTTTAAGCTGTGCCAAAGGCAGTGGGTCTCAATGATCTGGAGGGGCTCCAAGCAAACAGAGAGCTGTGTGGGTCTGGAAGAGGATAAACCTGCTGGAGGTGATGCTCTTGGCAATGTATTTAACTCGGACCATCATCTGTTTCTACAAAGGAATTTGTCCTCTAGAAAGCACCTCTCCTTATCTCTGCTCAGGAATTCATCCATCCAGCACCCAGTGACACCATTCCTCTGTTGGGTGACATCTGCAAAACTGTGCTTCCTCCTTTCTCCTTCAGACTGTGGTTAAATTCATTAAAAAACATACATCTGCTCTCACCAGGAAAGGTGCTGCAAAGAGCTCAGCCCTTTCCTCCAGGTCCACTCATATGCTCAGCAGCACTTTGCCAGTGTCAGTGCTCATTTGGATCCTCTTTCCTCAAAAAGTAGAAGCTCTAGGAGGGAAATTTGTTTATTACTGATTCAAAGGAGATTGACACTTGCAGCAGATCAGCCTCTGAGCCTCTGCCTATCCTCTTTCTCATGGAAAAAAGGGTCAGTGTGCTGCACCTCCCTGTCCCCAGGCATCCCAAAGCAAGGATGTCCAAGACAAGAACACACAGTGCTTGGCTATACCCCATGCATCTGCCTCTGCTTTCCTGCACCACCTCACCCAGAAGGCACTTTGCAGAGGGTTTCCCATCTCCCATCTGCCCTTCAGCTGAGGGTGGGGACAGCTTTGCACCTGGCACCCACTGCTGCCAGCAGCCTTCCAGCTACTGAACGTGCTGCAGGAATCGCCTGCTCCATGCAGCAAGGTCCTGTCACCCAAAATGCTGCTATGGGATCATTTATCCTACGCTAATTGCAAGGTATGCTCCTGCCCTGACGTCTTCCTTCTGCTTGGAGCTTGCTAATCCCTGCTGCTGATGTCACAGCCCTAATGCTCTCCGTGTGCTTTCATCACGACACAATAATCCTGGCTCACCCCCGATGTGAGCACATCTCTCACACGGAGAAATGGGGGTGAATTTGGGGGTGAGCAGGAGGAAGGAGCTTGAAGCACAACACTCAGCTCAGAGTGTCCAAAAAGCAGCACAATGGCACCAAAACAGAGTCAACCCCATGCACCGAGGCTGTTCCGCTGACATCCTTGGGGTAGGGATTCTGCTTGGTGTTATATTTATGGGGTGGCACAGCCCCACGTGGGCAGAGCTTCATCAATATTGAAGCATGACATCAGGAAGGCTGCAGCCAAAGCAGCTTTCAGACCTCAGCTCGGATCGATCCTGAACAAAAGGCTGCAGTATGGGGACAGCTCTGTCTGCTCTCCTCCCAGGGCCGATCAGGTTTCCTTCCTCAGCACACCCTGAAAGCACCCAGAGTGCACAGTCTCCTCTCAGCAGAGCGTTTTCAATATGCAGGCAGCTTCTGCTGCAGTCCCATTCACCTGTTTTGGGTATTACATTGTCTTAATGCTTTGCTTTCAGAGCAAACATCCTCAGCTCAAAGAGCACAGTCATCCCTCCCAGCATCCTGATTCCAAGACAGGAACATGCAGAAGTTGCCTCTTTTCAGCCAGTTTCATTCTTTTGGGTCTCTTAATATTGCTCACGAGCCAGAGGATGAATGGGAAAGATACTAAGATAGAATAAAGCAAGTCAGAGAGTAATTATATCTAGAGGCTAGAATCAGGAGCAACATCTTACCTCACTGCAACCAAATGTGTTCAACCACTGCCTCAGTTTCCTCATCGATAAGACGGGGAAAAATTTATAGTTGAGGGATGAGAATCCCCCAAAAAGAGCCTACATGACGGTGAGAGCACTCCCAGGGAGATGCATTAATTAAAAACGTTGGCAGATGAAGACCCTGCCAGCAGCAGCAAGCAGGGCTATTTGCTGGTTCATTCCACCACGGCTCCAGGAGTCATTTCCCCATCTCCTTCCTGCAACTGATTGCACCAAATCCCTCCCCCTCGTCTCCTTGTTGGTTCCCATTGCACCACACAGCCAAGTGGAGGTGCCCAGGGCAATGCTCACCCTCACACCAAAAGCTTTGGTGCAGCAAAATCCTCAGCGCCGCTGGAAATCCACCTGCTCTCCACCCCCAGCTTGAGACAGAGGAACAGATATCCAACATCTACTCCATCCCCAAGGGAGATACATGAGCTGGTGAGGTGATGAGCCCACCAGCACGGCGCTTCCAGGGGCTCTGTGCCCACAAAGCAACCCCTTAATGCTGCTGGGGAGGAGAGCGGATCGAAGGAGGTGGGAGTGGGGCTGTGGGCACAGGGAAAGCAGCCCGTGCCTCTTAATGCATTCTAAATCCCATCTGATTTCCAACAGTGCTGTTAGAAAAAAAAAAAAAAGGCAAAAAAACCCATCCAACCCAACTTGCATTAAAGTGGTATTAACGCTGGTGAGTGACTCAGGTTGAGGGGAAAGCATCCATAGAGGAATCCACACTGTGAACGTGTTTTAAAAGTGGACCAAAGGGAGCTGGGATGCAGATTGCTCAAGGATCCTAACGTGCTCGTACAAATCTGGTTAGCTGCTGGGGTTGAGCATCCAGGAGCAGATTCTTCCTCCTATACAGACACACCGCCTCTCCCCATCGTGCTCTGCTGATGGCAAAGTGTAATACAGCACAGCTTCACTCTCTGCATCCAATGCACTCCCTGCCTCTGGGAATGAGTTTTCCCTTCATTTCTGCTCCCTCTTCAGGCTGGCTGACTGCATAGCAAGAGGCATCAAAGTAAACACCACGAGTTAACCACTCTGGCCTCCATATCCCCAGCTAAATGTTGATGTTTTACAGTGAGCACGTACCTCACGTGATGAGGATTTTGATGGGAACCAACCTGAGGTCTTGTAGAGGAAGACACCTGCTTGGCATGCAAAGCAACAAGGCAAGAAGCCACCTGGCTGCACAATTTGGCAACTAGAGCCCAAATAACCCTACCCTCAAGGCAATGTTTCCTTACAACTTACAATCACAGAACCATTCGAGTTGGAAGTTGAGTTCGAAGGTCATCTGGTCAACTTCACCCTTCTCATCCTCATTTTGGTGCTCCTCTTCCTACTCCATCAAATAACCCATGATGCTCCTCCTTCTATTCCACCAAAATAACCCACCATTTTTAACTGTGAATTCAGAAAATTGGGTAAAGAAAGATACAGGAGGTGGATGATCACCAACCAGAACACATATGTGTGTTCCAATGTCATCTCCAGTTTCCATGAACACACCATTTTATTCACACTGAGCTGGTAGTGGATGACTACTGAAGTCACCAGACTTGGCTGAACAGATATTGAGATAAGAAGCAAGAAACATTACAGACATTATATAGCTCCCTACAACTAAGCAGTGGCAGTGCTTACAGTGCAGTGGTGACAAGATGGAAAACAAAGCAAAAGGCAGCGACCTGACTGCTGCTGGATGAGTTATCTGCCAGCAAAGCACAAAAGCTTTGTTCAAGAGCAGCCACCAAGCATGCAAAAAGCCTCAAGAAAGGAAGGAAATGAGTGGGTAATAAAGTTTTGGTCATATCTGCTGCCACTCTACAGCAAATCGTTTTGGAGATGAGATTACTACAGCACCAAGTAGCTGTACTGACCAAGTTCTGGACGCTGTGCAAAGAGAGAATGGGAGCAATCTTCTTCCATAGAGCCTTAAAGGAGGAGGACAGCAAATCCCCAGCACTATGGGGAGCAAACAAGAGGTCAACACTACCATTCAGCTCCAGGCTTTTCAAGTTATAACCCACAGAACTCTTTCACTAGGGACAACTTGACATTAAAAATAAGGAGGAAAAACTCTGGCTAAGACAGAAAACAAAAATAAAATTAAAACAGAAACAAAACAACAGCTTTCCAGCAGCCTTACCATTGGCATCTTGGACTCCAGTGAGTGCTCCTACTGCTGCTGCAGTTTCACCAGATAGGACGATCTGTCCTCCACCCTGAAGAGTGGCTTCAGCCAGCGTGGCGACGGCGTGGGCAGCTGCTTCACTGCATGGGAGAGGAGAGAGGAGATTTAGGAAGAAAGGCAAACCAACCACACTGCTCCAGCAGGACCCATTTTCATCAGGCACTGCGTGTCATGGAACAAACACAGCAAGAAGGGATCCATATCACAGCCAGCTGGAGTTATTCAGAATGGGAAATCTACAGTTGAGGAGGAATACTTGGCAATAAGCTGCTTCCAGTGGCTTTTTGACAGCTTGCCTACCAGGATATCCATCCCTTTGTCTGGGCTTTACAAAAAGCTTTTGGACAATCTAAGGACATTCCATCACACGGCTCCCTCCTGACTCTGGTTCTGGGCACAAAACTCGTTTTTTTTACCATTGAATCTTTCCAGATTTTACAGCTCCACCTTCATTACTGATTTTACCTTGCCCAGAACTTCACCACCACCAGGAACACATCAGCAGCTTTCAATTTAGCCAAGATACAGTGCTTCTCCCCAGCCACGTGGTTTAATAATTCTTTTTTAATGAGTGATTGGTAGCTAAGCATGGTGTACAAAGAAACTCAAGCACAAGTGAGGTCATACCAAAGGCCTTTCTAATGCAGCAACCCTGCTGTGAGAGCAGCCAGCATCAGTATTTAGGATCCATATACAATCCTTCCCTTCCTTCTCAGCTTCCAGCAGTCAGCACTGTATTGATTTCCACACAGCACAGACAGCATCTGGACCATGAGGTTTGACCCCTTTGATGCCCATTTTTGTATATATATTTTTGCTTCCACAACATCTGGTCCAATAAACTACCACCTCAGTCTTGCTGTTAAGTCTGATGTTGCCAGAAATGAGGGACTTGGTTAACAGGCATGGTGGCGATGGCTTGATGGTTGGACTTGATCTTAGTTGTCTTTTCCAACCTTAATGATTCTGTGATTCTACAAAATGGAGAAGAACTGCTCCCTTCTCATTCTCTCATGACTTCATAGACTTCCAGGGTCCCTTCCAACTCAGGATGTTTCATGATTCTATGACTCTCTGATAAAATGGACTCCAATGTTTTATAAGTCACTTCCTACTCACTGTTCCTCTCACCTAATTTCCTGCTTGGATGCTGCACACTTTCCAACTGAACTCACTCAAGGTGGATTTTCATTTCTAAACAGCCCCAAGTCATCTTGAGTTGCTTCCTTCACTCAGAAAAATCAAAATATGTTCAGCAGCCCTGAATTAAATACAAAGTGGAAGGCTTCTGATTCCTGAGAACTGTCAGATTCAAAAGACTGTTTCCAAAGGCAAGAGGAAAGTGGAATATCCTCAACAAATTCCAACAGCAACACTTGAAAAAAATAAAACATGAACTTGTTTAACCTGATATGTGACCCAGCCCAGCAGTGACTTAGATAAGGGAATCTCTGAGATCATCAGTTCCTCATCTCCTATTTTCTGATAAGGTCTTGTCCAACCCTGTAGGAACCTGGTATTTATGTCAGGGATACGAGCTTCACTGCTTCCATGAAAACCAACAAAATGTGAGTCTTGCAAACCTTTGGAGAACTGCAGAATTGCTCAACTGAACAGAAGTTTTGCTGTTAGTTGGCCTTTCTGCATAAAACAAAAAGTATGCCCCTTTCACATGGAAGGGTTTTGAGGGCCCATCACCTAGGTGAGCTCCCAGCTTATGATTATTAAGGAAAAAGGGTGGCAACAAGCTGGGAAATAAAACCCTTACTGTGTACAAGCACAGCTTGCACACACAGCTGTCTCTGGAAAGCTCTTCCATTTCTTTCTTCCAGGAGTCTCCCTTCAGTTTTAACATTTCTTCTTATTAGATCTATAGAAACTATGATTCTGGAATCTATAGAAACTATGATTCTGTGATTCTAGACTCTGAACTTCCTCAGCTAACACAGGAAAAGAGCCATTCATCATGACCTCAAGAGCTAAAGCTATTAGAGATGGGATGAAATAAAGTCTGGGTTTCAAGGCTTTCTCCTGCAGCTCCATAACTAGTTACTTGAGTTGTTTTTCCTACAGTGTCCTATAAAGTTCATGTGATTTTAAAAGGCAATTTTACAGTGGAACTATTAGTAATAAAGCTTGATCAATCAGCCTTATGTGGTAGCAGAAGAAAACATACTGGATGGACTTGGATCTGGATCACAAACAGAAGCAGTTCTTAGTGTGTTTGTAATTCAATAGCAATTTCTTCAAATCGTATTGTGGTTGGGTTAAAAGGATTCTCAAGGATCCCAGAGCCTTAGAACAACTTGGGGTGGAAGGGACCTTAAAGGTCATCAAATGGCTTGGGTTGGAAAAGACCTTGAAGAGCATAGAACCATAGGGTGGTTGGGTTGGAAGGGACCCCAAAGCAACCCCAGTCCCACTCCTGCAATGGACTGGAAGCTCCAGTTGCTCAAGCTGCCCAGGTCCCCACTCAGGAATGAGGCACCCACAGCTTCTCTGAGCAGCAGTGCCAGGGCCTCTCTGCCCCTGAGTAAATTTCCCCTCTTTTAGTTTAAAGCCATTCCCTCTTTTACTATCACTATCTGCTCATGTAAACATCACTCTTCCTCCTGCTTATAAGTTCCCTTAAATACTGGGAGCACTTGGAAGCATACCATTGATTGCTTCCAGGATCTAGGTGGCTGCTTTGATAACTTATGATCCACACATAGCACTATTTTGGACCTCCACTCCAACCATCAGCATCGTGGGTTTGTGTCTTGACAGGCACTGTTAGCACATTATGACTCTTCGTTAGCAAGCTCAGTGCTGTAACTGGACCCTTGCTGTACAAATCAGATCATGTGGAGAGTACTGCTGAACCCATCTTTTCCTCTTGCAGGAAATTTCCATTCAGCATGCTTCTACAGTTACAGTGGAAACTAAGAACCATCTTACAGACACCTGGGCACAGGTTGAACCAGGAGCTTGCTAAGGAAAAGCCTCTACTGGGGCCGTGCACTGTGACTTTTTAACCATGAGATGAGAACCTAGAAGGAAACACACACGTACCTGTTAAGTGCCATGGTAACAGTTGCTCCTTGTTGCATCTCCTGAGATGCTGCCACTGCTGCTTCTGCTAACGATGCTACTGCCTGCGTGGCCTCTGATGCCTGCGTTGTCTGGATGGTCATCTCACCCCCCTGTAGCGTTGCCCAGTTCTGCTCCACCTATGGGGAAAAACAGAGAGGAAGATCTTTGGATTGGATGCCATTCCATCAATGGTGGCTGCTTCCCAAAACAAAGGAGCCACATAACTCCAAGAGGTGTTTGCAGAATTCTGACTCTCTCCCAAAGACTTCAACAGGGCTAAAAGAGCATCAGAGGAGAAGAACCGTGGTCCAAGTGAGACTGTGGACCCTACAACCATCTCCCAGCCATTGATGGTTTCCTATGGCCAGGGTCTGGCACAACCCCACTTGAGCTCGCAGCTGGGACTTCCTTTTACTGCAGCCATGCACTTAGAAAAGAAAATAGCAAATGGAGTATATTCTGTTCATCTACTTCAGGTACTTAATTCCCCTACTTCCCTTTACATTGATGGTTTCACATTGCTCCGAGTTCATCCAGTCTCAGTTGCTCATTTTTCCCTTGGCCATAATTCTTTCTCCACATGGAACTCCACAATGTAATGACTTGTATGGCCACAAAACTGACTAAGATGTGAACACAGAATAAGCATTGGATCAAACCACTGAGTAGTGGTAGACAAAGGCCCATCAGCTGGCACTCCTACCAAGATGAAGATCCTTTTCCTTCCCCATCTCTATTCTCATCCATAAACATTCCAGGTCACTAGCAGCCTTGAACACACTAATAAGGATGCCTTAGCAGGTGATGAAGAAAATTCTCTCAATTAGGAACTAGACGCCTCTGCTCCTTTCATTTCTATTGTAGCTTTCTTCCAGATCTTGAGAGATAGAGCTGGTACTGAAAATCCTCAAAGCAGCTCTGATGTACTTCAAGATCACAGCCAGGCTGCTTCCCTCTGCTTCTGGGATGGAAATAGGATCTTGTTCAGAACAAAGCTGTTCTGTGCTGCCACCTGTCGCCAGAAAAGCTCCATTTATACAACGCAAACCAGACTTCCCCCTGCCAGAAATCCTGGTTCCTTACGCTGTCTCTATACACTAATGTGCATTTAAACAGTTCCCTTCACATCTTAACCTACAAATCCACCCAAAAGCTGCAGAAAATGATCAATTCTCATTTTGTCCAGAGATCAGCAGCCAAAGAATCACACAATTTGCCCACAGCCACGCAAATACCTTCTGCTAAACACAGGCTCAAAATATCCCATTCCTAACCCTAGCTGACAACACAGCTGTCAGCATCCGAGAGCACACAGAAGTCACCCAACACAAACAGATGAGCATGCATTTGCATCATTCATTAAGTCATTAGAAATTGGACTTCATGATGCCTATGGATCCCTTTCAACTCGTATACTCTACGATTCATTGGACACAATAATTCCTATGGGTCTGTTCCAGAATCATAGAACACCCTGAGCTATCAGCTACAGCAGATTTCATAAGATTAATTACATACAGAACATAAAAAAAAAAGTATGAAATTCAGGATTTTTTTTGCCATAATTGCATTTGTATAATCCTGAATCCAAATGCTTCAACACTTTCTATATGAAATTTCACACTGTCTTGTGCTCACATGTATTTTAACTGTTAACACTACAGAGTGGGGAAGCAAGGCTTGCTGTTCTATGACCACTTAGTGGCAGAAAACATTAATGTGCACGACCCAGATCCTTACCTCTCCATCAGCCACTGCAGAATAATTGACTTGTGCAACAGTAACTGTGGTAGGCAGCTCGGAGGCGTCAGCCAACGTGGCAACGGTGGCACCAGTGCCAACCTATGGAATTCAACAAGATACAGCTGAAGGAAAATGGCAGAGTAAAGGGACAAGAAAAGGGACACTCCAATGCTCTCAGATGACAAGGTGTTGCATCCATAGAGAATGCTATGGTGGAGTAACACGGTGGAGTCACGCTTCTCCCACCACTGCATGGAAGTCATGTAAAAAACCTACCCTGCTTATCAGCTATCATTTGTAACACTGCTTATCACCCTTCTCCAGGTACTTGGAGAATGTTAGTTCATTCTCAGTATCACACTGGCTCTGGAATTTTTTTCCCCATTTAACAGTTGGGAAAAGACAAAATCTGGGAGATGTGCAGCTTTGTTCATAAGAACTCAACTTTGAAGGGCCAGAAAGTCAATGGCCAACCATCTTTCTTCCATGGCTCCATCCCAAGGTCACCACAGGCGTTGCGTGGCCACCTAATTAATTGTGCCAAGTCTGAATGCCTGGACTTCTCAGCCATACAGCTGCAAATGCAACTATGCTGCTACAACAGGAAAGCAAGGGATGGGGGTGGGAAAGAGAGAGGACAGAGCTGCTTCTTTGAACTTAAGCAGTGTGCCCTGGTGGCCAAGAAGGCTAATGGTGGCCAAGAGGTTTACCATGATCAGAGAGCAGTATGCCCTTGTGACCAAGAAGGCCAGTGGTGTCCTGTCTGGCCAATGGTTTACCTGCTGGCCAAGAAAGCCAATGTTGTTTTGGTTGGCCAACAGTTGACCAGTGGTTGATCAACAGTCAACCATGAGCCAGCAGTGTGCCCCAGTGGCCAAGAAGGCCAATGGTTTCCTGGGGTTCATTGCACAGAGCGTGGCCAGCAGGACAGGGAGGTTCTCCTCCCCTCTGCTCCCCAATTCCAGGCAGACAGGGAGCTGCTAGAGGGAGCCCAATGGAGGACTGAAGAGATGAGGATTTCACTCACCTGGATGAGGGACACAGTGCCATCAGGGTTACTGAAGGTTTGTACCACTGTCTGTGAGGGCACCAGGTGTGCTATACTGTGTGTGGTTGTGGTCTGTTGCTGTGTCTGCTGATCCTCAAATGCGTAGAGCAGGTCCTCACGCCCATGCTGCTTGTAGCAGTTCTTCACGATAGTCCTCAGTGCTTGGGTCCACGACACCTGCCAGGATCACAAGGAGTGAAGAATCAATGTGAAAATCTTTTCTGACCCACTGCAGTGCTGTTATTGCTTTTGCATGCTTTCCTATTTTTGGGGGGAGGGTCTTGATGGATGTTTTTCAATAAATTCTCAAAGAAACAGAAGGTTCCTGGTACTTAATCAATCACTCTCCCTTCATCCCCAAGATTCAGAAATCACCCTGTGCTATTACATTTCTGTATACAGACACATAACAAGCTCCTTTGGCCAGGGGAAAGGGCAAATTTCTCAATTAAATCTGTTTCTCTAACTTTCAAGGAATCTTCAATTAAGGGATTGACCAAGTAGAAAATTACTCACAGCTGCCATTTCCAGACATTCATCCCCACCCAACCAGCTCACATCAGCCTACAGACGTGCACACCATAGCAGATTACACTGACAGGAACAGGTTGGTAGAAACATCACCTGCACACAGGATCTGTTGCTGTGACACCCTCAAAGACCTTTTCACCTGCTATCTCTTTTTTCCTGGCTCCATATCTTTGAGCACTTCCCTTGATGTAGAGGCCCCTCCTGCTCAAGATGGGACAGAGAGCCTTCAAGGGCTTCATGATGCCATGACATAGACACTACAGCACACAAATTGCACGTTTGGAGAGCAGAGTGGTCCTGGCCCAGCCTGAAGGCAGACACACAGCCACGCACCCGCTGCTTCTGCTCCTCCGTGCGCACATCACTTCGGACATTGGCCCAGGGAATGTCCTCAGGCCACCAAATAGGTTTGCAGCTCTCCTTGCCCCAGCCTGGCTTCCCACGACCCGTGGAATACTTCAGCATCTCCGGGATGAACGCTCGCAGCTGTGCCTGAAACAAAACACATCGGAGGGTTTTTAGGCAACTCCCATCATCTGGTAGCACAAAGTCACAGCATTTCGTTTCCATCCTGATGGAACTATGGACTGGAGAAGAACTGAATGCCCAAGGAAAATGTACAAAACTCCACCATCTTCTCCCAAATCTCAGCAGAGAAGAGCTTAGAGACGAAATATGGAAGAGCAAAACCAAAATTAAGCCAACTAGATCAATAAGGCAAGGCACACACTGTGTTAACACACCACATCGACACACTTTAAGGTTCAAGAACCATCACGAAGAGATCTGAAGGGGGGGAAAAGTCAGAATAATGCTGGAATAATCAACAACAATAAAACATTTCTGGTGTGACAGTGTCCCTGGGAGTCCTTTTGTCATTTCTGGAGGGCTTCTCACATGTTCTGCCATAGCAGGGGGGTTTCTCCAAACCATCCTAACCACAGCCTGGTTCCAGTCTGGGTACTGTTGGCTTGAAATTGTAAACCAGCTCATTCAGATGCTGCCTCCTGCACGACAACAGGGATCTGTGGGAGCCAGAAGATGGACTCAGTGAACCCTACGGGTCCCCTTCCATTGGGATATTCTATGGTTCTGTGAGTTCTGCAGGAACACAGAGCAGGAAGAGCTCTGCCACAAGAATTAACATGGGCTCTGAGCTTACTTAACAAGAAAAATTTTAGTGTACTTGGATGAAAAAGAAAAAAGAAAAACCAACTTCTCCGAGCACATGGCTCACTGCATTGCATACCTGCTAAGGGCAGTGAGTTGCCTGGTGCAAAAATAGTTAAAAGCTCCTTCCCACAACTGCTATCTGCAAGCCATGCTCCTTGTTAACAGATGGATTAATTACTCATCCTGGGGAGTTCAGCAGCTCGAGGCACTTGTTAGGAGGGCTTGCCTTTAATCCACCAGGGAGACAATCAGCTGCTCCAGCACGAGGATGGCTCTAATTAGTGCCATAACAAGACCTCATCCCAGCACTTCTGAGACAAAGACTCCACATCTCCAGGGGTGCAGCCAGCAGGATCTGTGGGAGTCACGTTGTGCTGCCTCCACCCGTGAAACATCCACCAAAGCTCTCCCCAAAAAGACCACGGCTCACCCTGGTGTCAGCTCTGGGAAAGGCTTTTATAAACCTCCAGCTTTGAAAATTTGAGAGAAATTGATAGAAATGACTCCTTAACACCCTTTGGTCTTCTCAGTTTTAATACTGAATTTGATCAGAGAATCATAGGGACCACTGGAGATGTAGTCCAAGTATCAGTGGAAGCAAACTAACCTCAATTCTATCATCTGCAACGGTACACAGCACAGATGAGTGCTGGGAACAAGGGGTGCTGTGTGAGGAGCGTCCAGGGCTTAAGGATAATGCCTTGATTAGGCTTCTAAAGGGCAAAAAAACTGTGGCTGGGAGTCTTCTCTTGGCCCCACGTATCTCCAAAGAGCAGCACATGGGACTCCTGAGAGTGGAAGAGGGCAAAGAAAGAACTGCAGCTGCTTTTCAACAGCCAATTTTAGACTATTTTACTTTTAACATACAGATTGAAAAGCAAGGCATACATCAAGGTTGTAATAAGGAGCTCCAAGCAGGGAGCTGTGGGACTACAGATCATCCCAGCTGCAGGAGCTCCACTCAAGACAGCAGAATCAGGCATTTCCTCATTGCACATGTACAGCTCTGGCAGAGCATCAGCTCAGCAGAGTCCACAAGCAAGGAGACATTTCTATGCAACAGATCCAGGGTCAGAGTTCCAAAGCCATTCCTATCTCCTGCACAGCTGAAGTGAGTGATGCTCTTTGCTCAGAGCAGCCCTGCTCAGCCTTTATTTCCCTCTAGACCAACAAGGAAGCAGAGCAATTAAAAGGAGAGAGATTTTCACCCTCCCCTTTGAGGAGCTGTTGCCTCTACCACCTGTGTGCAGGCACCTGCAGCTCCCATAGTCACATCTCTTCGTGGTGCTGCTCCATCTGTACTTACAAATATTTGGGGTTTCCACAAGGCTTTGTGTTTCCATAGGGTTTTGTGCTGCTTGGTTGAAAAGCTCTCTAACTGCTAACAGTGAATGGAATTGTATCAGCAGCTCTGGGAATCAGAATTCCTACAAAAAGCAACAGCATCTCTAGCCATGCAACATGTTGCAGTGATTTAGCAGTTCAGTGTTATCACCCACTCTCTCAAAGTAATGTATTTTGTGCTACTGTGGCACAAAAATGACAGCAGCCTCATCATATTCAGCATATCTGCTTTGTGCTTCTATTTAAGAGTCTGGCAAAAACTATATTCCTTGGATGAAATTACCTCATAACCATCACATGCACCATATTTACTCCCTGAAAATTCTGCAAGGAGGAACACCTCCTGGGTTGTGAGAATCCACCAAAGGAGGCTGCAGTGCAGTCAGTTCTGTCCTCAGATGGCCTCCAGGCATGCAGAGCTCTAAAATGTTAAGAGAACACCTACAGTATGTCATCCCTATGTGATATACAGGGAAACTGAGGCTGAGTGTTGTCTCCAGAATCCCAGGAGAAGGGCTGGACTTCATAATATGCACATAAAGCACTGCAATGATGGATGTGAAGAGCACAAACTGTCCACAGCTTGGGAAAAACCTTCACAAAGCTATTCTGGGTGATCATGTTGTACTGAAAAAAGGAGAGTTACTCCTAACACAAGACTTGCTTTACCACAGCTCAAGTCCTCTCATGCAGCATTAAGCAGCCCCATGTTCCTGTGCTGTTGCATCAGCAATTGGCACATTTTTTCCCTGCAAAACATGAATGGGGAAGAAAGGAAGTGAAAGCATTTATCATTTAAGTGAGCCAAGAGAAGGATGGGAACACACAGTGTTGGGTGGGGGAAGCAAGCAAACCCCAGGGGCACCTTGGCTTGGCTAAATCTTTGTGCAGTGTTTCCTGAAGACCAAGGACACGTCATGCTTGAAAGGAAAAACCTAATTTTTAACCTAACAGGAGAAGTATTAGTATTTTTCTCATAGATCTTTGGAGGAAAGGTTGCTTCACTTGAAGAGAAGCAGAGAAAAACCTAAGCAACTCTTGATGTTAAAATTTTTAATTTCCAACTTTATCATAAAAATAAAATCAGCAAAAGGCTGGACCTGGACAGAAGGGCAGTCCCCACTTCTCCAGGGCAGTCCCCATCAGTATCTCACCCAAGGTTTGATGTGACTCTAAATAACTGGCAAGCCCCCCTCTGTTCGGGCAGAAAAATGAGGGGATGATCTAGAACACACAAGAAACAGCCAAGAAAGATGATCCAAAATGATACAGCAGAAGCCACCTCCCTGACCTCAAGGCTCAAAAATCACTGCAGTCTGCGAGACAAAATGCATCCCCTGTTCATGGTGCATGGGAGGTCAGAAAAAAAGCACAAAGAAGGGAGTCTACTCCTTGAAAGGGTAGATAGATGATGGCAGGACAAGGGGAAATGGTTTGAAGTTGAAGGAGGAGAGATTTAGCTTGAATGTCAGGGGAAAGTTCTTTACAATGAGAGAGGTGAGGTGCTGGAACAGCTGCCCAGAGAGGCTGTGATGCCCCGTCCATCCATGGAGGTGTTGGAGGCCAGGTTGGATGGGGCCCTGGGCAGCCTGGGCTGCTGTGAAATGGGGAGGTTGGCGGCCCTGCCTGTGGCAGGGGAGTTGGAGCTTCGTGATCCTCGAGGTGCTTTCCAACCCAAGCAATTCTTCTGTGAAGAGGAGTGCTCCCTACAGCCCCCAGCTCTGAGAAGCACCTCTGCTGCTGTATGCAGAAAATAAGCAGCAATAACAAAGCTTCACATCTAACTAGAGCCATCACATCCCATGGGAAAGAAAGAAGAAATCAAGTACATCCCCTGGAGATGCAGACACAAACTCTGGTACAGAATAACAGGATGTGACTGTAGGATGCCACATCTCTCTCTGGTTCTGCTAAATTTCTGCCATGCCTGTGCTTACCTGGGTCATCTTGTCCACTGAGACTGGAATGCCATCAATGGTGAGGGGTGGTAACTCTGAGTTAACCTCCTGAGGTGCAGGAGCATGCTCTGCCAGTGCTGACTCCAGGTCTTCCAGAATCATGCTCTTGTATTTGCGTACCTGTAGGGAATTGTTAAGCTCAGGTAAACAAGGTGAGGAGCAACAGGAGAGGAGAGGTGAGCAGCAGGGCCAGCCGCCTTCCCCAGGGCACTGGGGAGATGAAAGAGCAAACAATGCTGTGCAAAAACACCTGCCGGCCCCAAAGGCTTGGCTGCATTAAAAGGGTGATGATGAAATGTTGGGTAACATCATCAAGTGGAAGGATTTGTGGGATCAAAGTGAAGTTCAGAAGTCAGACTTATCGTAGTCAGGATCTGTTCCATTTGCTGGCTGGTCTGTGGTAAGGTGCATGCTGTGCTCAAAGACATCCATCGTTACCTGCACTTTTAATTGAGGCTATTAGCCCTGGGGAGTTGTGCTGAACAAGCAAAAACTATGCAGAGAAGGCAGGAACTCAGTACTAAACTCACATTCATACACTGAACCCCTATTTCCAGGGCCTTAAACATGACCTTCAGATCACGGCCAGGCTTGCAAGTCTGCTCTGAGCCAGAATTAAACCTGCAAACAGGGTGAGCAATTAGCAATTATTGTATGGCTTTTTCTAGAGACACCTACCACGTTCTCCAAAGGTGCAGCTCCAAAAACTTTGAAGACAGGGTTGGGTTTGGAGGGTGAGATGCACAGGACGATGGCTTGCTGCCCCACTCTGGTGGTGTACTCATCCAGCGTGGCACGGAGCTTCCTGAAACACAACCAACAAACAGGTGCCAGCTGAGAGCCCTGAAGAAACACAACTCTTCCCATTGTCAGCTTCCTTTTTGGATGCATCCCATTCACAAACCAGGTGAGCAGCAGAGCCCCAGCTGTCAGATTGGCCACACAGTGCTTCCCTGCTGTGCTCCCCACAGTCACAGAGCAGCTCAAATATCAGCTATTCTCCTGTTCTCCATTTTTTTTCCCCATTGATGCACAATGGAAAGAGAAATCAGCAGAGCAGCAAAGCTAATGTACATCTCCTGCTGTCCTTAATTCTGTCACTGGCCAAGAGGATACAGAACTTGTAGGAGAAGAATTTGACTATTTCAAGAATATTTCAGAAAACACAGCTTATTTTACATTTGGGTTCATAGCATCACATTGCAAATCTCTGCTACCCAAACCAGAGCTGTTGGCTCCACAACGAGGCAAGAGCCAGGAGTGTTGCACCAACAGAGCACAGGGAGCTCACATGCACCTGCCCCATCAGCAAGTCCCCTTGGAATGAGCTCTCTGTAGGAAGAAAATGTTCCTTCATAGATCTTCCTCCTCTTACTAACTTCCAAGCAACACAAGAGAATGTGTCAGGAACTTCAGCTCATTAAGCAAAAGAGGAGCAGTACCACTTTGTAACCTGAGCACAGCCATAAGAGGACATTTTAGGATCTGTCCTGGTCATTTCAGAACCTGCTGATGGCAGCACAGTGCCAAAAAGCACCACCACCATGTGTAGAGATCTCAGAATCAGAAACCAGCTTCCCACTCGATGCACGCTGCTGCTTAGAGCTGTTAAATTGATCAGAGGTACAAAAATGATGCATTCTGTCAGTATTTTACACATCACAAAAGAAGCAGTTGCAGAAGAGGAGAAGTAATTCCTTTACAGAGGAGTTTCTTTAAACTATGTTGTTCATATATCAAAGGAGAAAGAAATATGCTCTTCGCAAATGCTGTAAACATGTGGCTGAGTCACAGGGAGGAGAGAAAAACAGAATGAGGCCATAAAAGAAAAGGAGCCTACTCCCAGGAAGCACTTTTAACACCAAACCTGCTTCATTTCTTTCCACTTCTGTCACGTGCAAAGGGTGTTACAGGACTTAGCAGGTGAATAAACACAGTGTAAGGAAACCAGTTTAGTTTCTCATCAGCTCTCCATGAGTTTGAAGCAGAGAGAAGAAAAGGTGACACTGAATTCACTGCCTCTGTGCATGAACTGTGTGCAGGATGAAGTCAGCAAGCAGCACAGGGTGACAAACCTCAACTTCTTTCATATAATCTAACTGAGGTCAGAACAGTTTAAAAAGCAAAAATTGGTGTGCTCCAAAATGTTCTAAAAGGCAGCAGTCAACGTTTAGAAAGGGTTCCTAAAGTTGGCATTGCAGTGATCATCAGAGGTTTGCACAACACCCTGCAGGACCAGAGCTCCCTGGTGGCCATCACGTGGGCAGAGATGCTCAGAGCACTCTGAAAAATCATGTCAAAATGCAAAAAAACAGGGGCATTCTTCACTTGGTAGATACATCCTCAGAGCTAGGACGTGGCTGGAGCTCTCAGGACAAGCTGTAAAGTCACTGGAAAGGCCTTGGAAGGCAATGTTACCGTGATGGATTGAATCAAAACAACACTTTGACCCATTCCTGAAAATTAAAATACTGCTTGTGGGCTCCCAGAAATGATGCCCTGCAACTCCTCGAGTTGGGCAGGCTCTGAACAGCTCACAAATAGCACTGAGAGGGATGCAGGAGGTAGGCCAAGGTGTCAAGAGTGCAGAAGGAGTCCTTACCGTAGCAAACGCGTCTGCTGCCTCTTACGGATGGATGGGTTGGATTCAAAAACGTGTGGTCGCTTCCGTTTCTTACCCGTTGCCACAGCAGCAGCTGCTGCCATCCCCACAGGACCTGGAAATGAAACCACAGAAGTGAATCAGCACAGTTCCAGATATGGAATGAATGGCTTGGGTTGGAATGGGTGGTAAAGATCTCAGAATGATGGAACGGTTGGGCTGGAAGGGATCTTAATGATCATAAAATCATGGAATGGCTGGGTTGGAAAGGACCATACAGATCGTAGAATCACAGAATGACTTGGGTTGGGAGGGACCTTAAAGGTCATAGAATTAGAGAATGGTTGTGTTGGAAGGGACCTCAAAGCCCCCCCCTAGCCCCAACACCTGCTAGGGGCTTAGTTGCCCACCACCATATCAGACTGCCCGGAGTCCCATTGTTTCTCTATGTGTCAGAGGTGAAAGGCCACATCAGGTGACCCCAAAGCTTTGTGTTTAACAAAGGTGCAGATACAGGAGCAGGAAACCCTAATTTATTTTAAATATTGAGAGCCAATTTAGGCAGAAAAGCTGCACTGTGCCCAAGTTTTGGGTATGGGGAAGCACAGGAGGCATGGGAAGTGCAGCCAGGGACTGCAGGGGGATACCTGGGGTTCCCTTAGAGTGAGACTCTCCTGCAACTGCCCACCAGGATACTGGGAAAGAAAAGGAAAATCCTGCAGGAGTTGAGGCTGCAAAAATAATAAGCAAAGCAGTAGAATGCTCAGTGCAGTGGTGGAATGATCAGTGGGATGGTGTTCAGGACCATGAAGCTCTGAGAGTCAATGTACAGGCACACAAGAGCTCCAAGAGTGATCAAGCATGGTGAAAGACTACTTTTGAACACTGTAGATTTTGCATCTGTGTTTCAGCCTGTTCCCTAGGAGAATAAAGCTGAGAAGAAGCCAGGACCCAGCCCAGCCCTGCTCCTGACTGCAGGAGACGGGAGGCTCATAGCCCACGGCTCAAATACACATCTGGGGAACCACCAGATACAGGGATATTTTTTGTGTTAACTCTCAGTTTATATCACCTGGGATGGCAGATCATCATGATTAACTCATTTAAATGTTTTAGGACACAGGATATACAGCAAGCTATCACATATGGCCTATTACACATGGCCAGCAGGTCCTCACACCACTTGGATTCAACAAGTAGGTATGTGACCACTGCAGTCTTCCAACCTCAACCTGAACCACATCTTTACTTGTTTCTCCCCATTTGTTTACTATCATTTTTCCTTCTATATAAGCTTGAAGCCATTGGCAGTAACCTCTACACAACTATCTCTTCTCCATTAATACTTATTCCAACAGCTAACGTTGGGCACACAATCCTCCTCCTCCTTTCATACCGTACATATCCAGAAATGTTTATCCAGGAGCAGTTGCCTTTTCACCACTCTCTATAGAAACTCCTAAAGATTTTACCTTTTTGTTAAGGCAACCTGTTGGCATGTCCTCACTTCCAACTGCAAGCTGTCTGTAGCAAGGGTTGACTGCTCAGCATGTTTAGCAGGGACGCTCACCGCATCTATAAGCGCCGATATTGAGCTGCTTTGCACAACTTCTGACAAGCAGGTCAGGAGCTTTATTCCACAAATAAGGAGCCAGATCAGTTTGTGAGTGCTTATTTATCGATTATCATTGCTTTCTTCTACTAGAGAGGTAGACCCACTTCAAGGCAAATATAAAAGGACATGTGGCAGGGGTTTACTGGAAGGGGTTTGTGATCCTGAAACAGTTCTTCATTCCATAGATAGAATGGCTTGGGCTGGAATGAGCCTTAAAGATCATAAAATCCCAGAATGGGTTGGGTTGGAAGGGACATTAAAGATTATGGAATGGGCTGCTGGGTTGGAAGGGTCCTTGAGGATCACAGAATCATGATACAGTTGGGTTGGAAGGGTCCTTGAGGATCACAGAATCATGATATGGTTGGGTTGGAAGGGTCCTTATACATCACGGAGTTATGGTATGGCTAGGTTGGAAGGGTCCTTAAGGGTCACAGAACCACGATATATTTGGGTTGGAAGGGATCTTAAAGCCCTACTTAAAACCAAAGCAAGAAGGAAGCATTCACAGCATCCCAAGGGAGCGAAAGGACCGCTTGGACACCCCCAGGCCCAGATGGTGATGTCAGTATGAACGGTTGGTCATGAGAAGGATGCTGAGCACCCTGTTGCTTTACCTGCTGCAGCCAGGTGGGCCGTCACCTCGTCAGCTGCTGTGGAGTTGAGGATGTCAGAGTCATCATAGGACGTGTCCTCAGGTGAAGAAGGCGAGTCCTCGTCGGCGCTCAGCATGCTGTGCTCTGTGTAGGTGGCCACGTGGACCTGCTGCACCTGCTGGGCCACTGCGTGGGCCTCGATGGTGGCCATGTGTTCTGTTTGAGTCACGCCGTGTTCTTCCATCAATAGGTACTGGAAGGGAGAGAAAGATTAGAGTGGGTGTTAGGGATACGTGTGCCATAAATAAGGAGAACAGCAGGTGAAGCCAGCTGGGTGAGCAGGAAGGAACAGAGGTTACCTCCCCTAGTGGACTTCCACAGGAGGGACATTACTAATACAGGAGGCAGAAGAGGTTCTGAAAAATCCTATTTCCCAACTACACAGCACCAGAAGCAGGCACCATTGCTGGAGGAAAGGTCTTCACTCACCTGGCATTCCCAAGATGGAGCTTATTTCTGCCACTTTGACACCAAGGGAAGATGCTCAAGAGCAATACATAATGCAACCTCAACATCCCAGGACGTGCATTACAATGACAGTACAGAGGTTTACTGGTAGCAAGTTGTGTTCTGGAGATGACTTTTGCTGCATTATTTGCCCAGAGTCCAGAAGTGGGCAAAATCATTACAACCTAAGCATAAGCATTATGTAAAGCATACTTATTTAATGTAGCCAAGTGCTAAATCACTGAACAGAGCAGCAGCTCACACAGTCAGCAGGGCACCAGAGCATGCAGCATGAACATAAATATGAGCAGAAGATGCTCAGGTATTGTCAGTGGGTATCTATTGTACATTGGTGGGAAAGCACCAGCACATCACAAACTGTTACATCACATACCAGAGGACCTTGTGGCCATAATAACGGGGTCAAATTCCATGGCATTAAAAGCTCTTTACCACACCCTCTCCATAGAAATCTGTTCAGCTTTTCAGGAAGAGAGAGCCAGGAGCACAGACCTGGCACAGTGCACTGCACCATCAACTCAACCACAGCGTGCCAACATGCAGCTCTGCTCTTCCAAAGCTTCCCATAACTTTTATCATATATATCCTGCCAGAAATACACAACGCTTAGCAAATGATCAGCATGACAGCCACTGTGACAAAACAGTCATCAGGCTGATGGTGAGTCCAAAAATGACATCATCAGGACCAACCACGCAGGAAAAATGGGACAGTGAGATCCATGCCAGGAGAAAGAGCTCCTGGCCAAAGTTATCTTGGCCAAACCAACCAAGGACAACTACTTGGGAGATTGCAAGAGGAATGACTACAAACGTAGGATGCTCCATGGAAAGAAAGGAGGAGAAGGGAGAGCACCTCAAACTGAGGACAGGAGGTTTGGTGGAAGGCAGGTGGAGATGACCTGAGTTTCGTCCTGATTTTGGGAGAGGAAGAAGGGCAAGGCACATCCAAGGCCACAGAAAGAAGTACCAACAACATTGTGTACTGAACACTAAGGGCATTTATAAAGTAGCTCTCTCAAAGGCAGCTTCATCTTGAAGACACCACAACCAGCAAATCAATTCTTTTAGCGAGTTCCATCCTCCAAACATTCAGAATCATTTTTCCCCTTTCAAAATCATTTTTCACATTTGACTCAAGCACAGCTATTTTTTATTTTTATTTTTTTTTAGTGGGAAACAAAAGCTGCATCTCAAATGCAGGGAGAATATTCCCTGGACAGCACTAAGGGAAAGCTTCCTGCTCAAATGCCAGAGGCACAAATGGTGTTGAATGGAGATGAGAAGTTCATGGATTAAAATACTGACAGGAGGCTTAGGATGAGACAAGCAAAAACCCACTATCATGCAAATAAGTTTCCAAATACCACCACTATTACCAAAATGGCTGCAGGCAGCCACATCCCCTTGCTCAATGGACAGCTTCCAGCCAGCAGGTCCAGGGCTTTAGGATGGATTTGCTCCATGTATGGGATTGCACAGCGATGGTTCTTCTTGCAGCAGCCTTTGTCCTCCTAAGCTAACTCCAACCTAGGCATTTGGGAATGGTTTCTCAATTCCCAATACAAAGAAATCCAGCGAGACCTTTCCAAAAGTGGTACTGAACTTCCCAAAATGCCAAATACGCCAAGCCCAATCTGGTTTCTGTCCTATGCTTTTAATAGTGAGAATCACAAAACGAATGGCTTCACTAAGAGCTACCAACTTCATGGTGGAGCTGACTCTTATTTTGGCCATCTCCTATCCAGAAAAGTGAGTTTCTTGCCTGGGAAACACTAAGAGAAGCCTTAAGTGTTCTTAAATTGTACGGATGGAAATTAAACTCAATTTGGGCTCCCAACAGATGAGTTTAGGCTGTTTCCTAGCTAGGCATGCACTAGAGGAGCTCCAAACTGCTGAAATGCAGTTGTGAGACCATTACAACCCTATGGAGGTTAAAGCTCCAACCACCTTCCCACTCACAATCCAGCTCACAATGGAACCAGGTGTTATTCAGCCCTCCTTACAAGTCACTGTGATGTTAGAACCACCCAAAGGAGACCAATTCAAATACCTCCAGTAAGGAAGGGTCTGAGATGCCAAGATGCATTGAAGCAACATGAAATATGTTGGTTGGAAACAGAGCCAGTATAATCTTCTTCTAATGAACTTATTTTGTTATCAGTACAGAAAAATAGGGGGAACAAGGGAGATTTCAGGCAAAACCTTAACGGAGCTGCACAGCAAGCCATGCTTTTCCCAAACCACTAGGCTTTCTTTGTCTGAAGTGGTTCACTGCTGCTTTCCCCACGGTGCCATACAACATAAAGTGCTTTCCACTGAAATAAAGAAGTGTTTATCCTCATAAAAAAAATACTACCAGAATATATGTGACAAAGTGTAGCCACCACTCAGCTCCCCAGGAAACCAGACTGCAAAACGAGCGATGCTTCTGACACTGCTTTCTTTAGGAGGAAAAATGCTTGAACCAGGGCGATACCACTCAAACAGAAACTATGGGCCATGCATTCCTAAGTGGGCAAACAGGCAGCTGGGTGACCAACATCAACACAAGGGTGCCCAAAAAGAGCAGACAGGAACGTGTGGGCATTTGCTCTCATTTTTACAGGCACACATTGCGCTTCCACCACCAAGCAGAACCTGGATCTGCCCTTTCTGCACCCTCATCTTCATCATTCCAGGCTTATAAAAGTAAAGAGAAGCTGGGAAAAGGGCAAGAAACTACTACACATCTACCACAAACCAGGACTTACTATCTAGTGGATGGGGAGCCTGCCCAGTTGTGTGCATATCCCAACACTACAAGCTTCAGTAACTCATTTCCACATTGTAACTTGGATTAATTCCAGTTTGACCCACTAGCTGACTTCACTGAACACCAATTTTCTTCTTTTTCAACTTCTGCACTCGTTCCATGTCTGCACATTTGACTTCTGGAAAATTCCCAAACGTCTCCAGCACATGGAGGGCAAAAGCCTTATAGCTGTGCGTTGAAAGTTTGGGTAATTATTTGTATTATCCATCTTTTCACGTTATTCCTGCAGGATTCCTGGTAGAAATCAGGCTGTGGAGCACAGAGGAAGAACCATCCGAAGAGCCACCAAAGAGCCACCCAAAGCAGCTCCGCCATGGATCTGATGGACTGGAAAAGGGATTATTGCACAGAGCATGAAAGGAAAGAAAATGTTTTCGATTCATTTCAGAAATGAACATTCCTCATTCCAGAAAACGAGTGTTTATTCCTCTTGTGCTTTATCAACCTGAACAACTTCAGGTGCAAGGAAACCCTGATGCCATGACGATGCTTGTGGAGACATTTGCTGGTGGCCGTGGCCCAGTCCTGAAGCCTTGGATGAGAGCCAGAAGTATTTTAAAAATCATTTAAAATGCTTGAAGACAGAGAAATGAGGATAAAGTCACCTCAGCACGCAGTGCAGTTGCTTTGTGGTCATGATGGAGGCTCCTTTAATGCGCTGCTGAAACCAGAGCTGGAAGGAGAAAAGCAACCCAAAATAGCAAAACCTGAGCACTGAAACAGCAGAAAACAACAGAAAAGGAGCGCAAAAACTGTAAATTCTATGCTTAACTCAAAGACACGTGGTTGAAAATGGAGCTCGTGTCTACTCAGCGTCATCTGTGGTGTGAGTAGAAGTAGCCACACCAACACAAAGCCCCACTGGAGGAACTCGTCTACCACCAACTCATGACGGTGCTTCATGAGTGCTTCAAACTGAGACAATGATGAGATGTCCACACAGGAAAAAAAACAGAAGGAAAAACAGCTTGGGATGTTTCAATAATTTCTATATGGATGCAAAGCATGGACCACGTGAATGAAGACTGAAGGAGAAGGGCTGAGACACACTCTGTATGGACTGTAACTCCAAATTCTGTATTTTCAGGTTTTTCTTCTGCTTGGACATTTTGGGTGGAGGTTTCTCCTTTCAAAACTCACTTCTTCATAAAAAAATTCTGTCTTTTCTTCAAGTGAACGCTCTTTGCTATCACCAAAATGTCTCCTAGGTGAAGGTTTTGGAGAAGGTTGAGGCCCCAGTGGGGCACTGACACCGCAGCAGCTCCGCTTTCCGTATGGAATAAGCAAGGATTGAGAAATGATAAAAGGCAGAAAACTGAGGTGCAGCAGCCCATAAAGGTATTGAGGCACAGTGCTGGGAGCACTGCTTCTTCCATAAAACATAACTCAGACTGCTGGGTGGTGATGGACCCACCTGAAGTTAATTTAGAGGTCTTGGAGAGAGGGCCCATTTGGCACAGCCGCAAATAATCCCTCCGGCTCATTTCCTTATTAGTTCCAAAGGAATGGAAACGCTCCTGGTTTCCCCTTTTCCATTTTCTGCTTGATCCCTGTGCTGCAGACCCAACATAGAGCATCCTGCACGGAACAGCACATCGCACAGCACTGTCTGGCACGACGCAGTTTAGTCTGAAAATCAGCTTTAAAAAGGGAAAACAGCATTAAATGTCTCACTATTCCAGCATCACGCTTTTAACTGCAATAAATGCTGCTCCAAGCTCAGAGAGCTGATTTTTTTTTTTTTTCTTCCAAAAAGTGTGCAACACCTCCTCTCTTTCTTCCACTGCTTCTGTAAAGTTGGTGAGCATCTGGAGTTTAATGTGCCTTTAATGGATTCAAGCCTGCCCTGTAAATAAGTCACTTGCTTTGCATGAAACCACCACCATCACACTGGCACCTTTGTTCTCGGGGGTTGCTGTGATCTGGCTGTGTTAAACCCCATGCGGCAGTGCTGCTGGCTCTTCTTCTTGCAATGCTGTGGTAGTTTCCAGCCACATGCACCAGCACCCCTGCTAGGAAATGGGCTTCCCCATCAGCACATAGACCACTGGTGCTCTACCTTTCTCCTTCCCCGTCTTGCACAAGGATTGCTTGCAGGAGCTGTGATGAAGTGGTACTGCTGCCCAGCACTGCTCAGGTGCTTGCTTGCAACTCTTCTACAGGATGAGATCAGAAAGCACTTGTCCTGTGTAAGTCCTGTGCACTTACCACAGCAGGTTGTTTGATTTTAAAACCTATTTTCCACTGGTGCTGTAGGTTTCAGTGAATTCCCAGCTCCCTGCAAAGACAGCCTGGAATAACTCCTAAGTGAAAAGTGGTCCAAGGAGAAATTAATCACTCACCACCTACTGATAAAATACATTTCCTACTCCTATTTGAGGGGAATTCTGCATCTGAAATGGTCTCCCCCTGTGTTTTGCTGTTCTGGCACAAAGCTCTCAATGCATTTTTCAAAGCAGAGGTGCTTCCTCATCCCGTGAGCATCTTATCAGCAGGTTTCAATGGTGGGAGAATGAACCTCATGCACCGAGATTTCCACAAGGACAATTGCAACCATGCCTTAAACTACTGCTGCTGATCAGCCCTCATAGCAGACTACAGTATCCACGTTTTGACCCATTTTGGATGGGTCCCAGCTCCACCTCCTGTCATTGCCACAGCCAAGCAATACCAAGACCTGGCTTTTCTTAGGGGGATGCAAAACAAAGCCTTGGACTCCTGCTGGAAGTCTCTGTGTAGCATCCAACCTGCTGACAGCTCTCCCAGGTTAAATATTATTCACACATTCACCTTTAGATAGGGTTCGATGCCATGCCCGTGCAACGATGTGTCTCGATGGAATTAGTTATGTGGGTTTGATAAGGAAACAATGCATCCATCAAGCAGCAACATTGATTTGTATCTTTATTATTACCCCAACTTGTTGAAAACACACATTGAAATGCAAAAATCCCATTGTTCTGGCACTGGTGGAGAGAATTGGCTGTGGTCCTGCACTGGCAGAAACACAGTAACTCAAGCCCTAGGAGGGACTGAAATCCACCTCTTGTCATCCCACAGCGTCCTCCTGTGGCTTAATGCAATTATCCTTTTAATTAGGCTGGAAAAATAATCCCTGTGCTAACAGTCGCAGCATAAAAATCCTAAAAAAAAGAAATCCTAAGAAACCAAACCCATGTTTTTACTGTGCCTTCCCCATCAGCATCTCACCCAAAAGAGCTGCAGGAAACACAGAAAGCCTGGAAAAGAAACAAATGGGATTTCACACCTGTTTATTGAGCACGTAAGCGGAGTGTGGACAGCAAAGCATCTGACAAACAGCGTCCTCAAAGGTACCGTTATGTCCTTTTGCACACTTTCATTTCAAGAACCACAGAAATCCCAATTTCTAATTATTTTACTCTGAACCATGTGGCCTTTAAGACATTCTAAGCGAGTTGCTCTTCTCTGGTTGTTACAGCTTTCTAATTAATTTGAAGAATTGCTAACCCCATCAGCAGCAGGACCGGAGGATCTGCTGTTTGCTGACGGCCTTTTACCGACAGGATTACTGCCCAAAAGACAGAGCACAGCCCTGGCAGGCTGAATTAAGGTACGAATGTTCCCATTTTTAATCCTCTTTTATAGAGGGAAAGGATTACTGTTACGCTGGGCTGCTGCAAAGGAACGTAACGGGAGCGTTGCGAGGAGCACACGAGTGAGGGCAGGGGTGGCACAGAGCACTGAGATGCTCACTGGGGTTTGGAGGCAACACGACAGCACATCTGGAGACAACAGAACAGGAGATTTGGAAACAACACCAAGAGATCAACCTATTGGCCATGGCTGCCTTCCTGAGCACTTGGCCAACAGTGTTGCTTGCCCTCACGTTGCCTTAGCTCATCACCTACCAGGTGGTAAGGTCACAGGGCATAGCCCTAATTAAATAACCTGCACTAAATTACGTAGCTCTGACCTAAGATGGCAGGCCTGGCTACAAGGCTGGCTGGGTCTGTTGGTGATGTGTTCTGCAAGGAGCTCATAGAATAGGTTGGGTTGGAAAGGGCCCAAGAAGCCATCATGGCACGGTCTATCCCAAACCCAGGCTTCCTGCCCTGAAAATGCACATCAGCCTATCTCCAGCTCAGCCAGATGAGACCACTCTGCGATTACCTAAGTACATGCATGCTGGATTTAAGTGCATTTTAAGAACATTCTTCTCCTCTGTGGGACCAACAAAGAGTTCCTTAACCTGCCCACCTTGCTCCTTGAAGCACATCAGTTACTATGCAGCTGTTTTCCATGCAAGCTGAACACTCAAAACTTAATCTGTTAAAAGATGAAATAGTTATTACACGTTTCTAACAAACATGCCTACATACAAACGGGGCTGTTCAAGCTTTGAACAAACACAGGGGCTGAGGGAGGTTTTAGGAGCTGCTGCAACACACAACCATTTACTTTGTGCATGGAGAACAGAACACAATATTTTATTTGCAGCTGCATTTTGTGTTTTGGAGGTCTTTAACATTTCCTCACCGCCACCTCCATCCACGTATGCTTCTCATTACCAGAGTTTAAGCATTACAGCCATCACAGGAACACACACCATTTGCTTCTTGGGCAAAAGACCCACCTTAATGCTTTACCTTTCACTCAAAAACATGGTGCAGAAAGAAGCCAGAAAAGGAAAGACAACTTGCAGCCCTAGGCAGCTATGAGAAGTGCTTCACATCAGCCTGGCCTTCCTAGGGAGAAAGGGAGCAGCACTACCCCAAGTCCTCTCTCCTTTATAGGGAAAACTGAGAAGTTCAAGGACCTTTCTGGGGTCCAAAACAGCAGGAGACTCCAACAGCTGAAGCCAAAAATAAGGGGATAAGAATTAATTGGCACAACATCGAGGATGTGGCAATGCAAATAAAGCACGGAGGAAGTATTTTTGACCCAGACATGGGGGAAGTTTCCCAAGCTGCCGAGTCATCTCCATTTGATGACTTTAATTAGATGGTTACGTAATAAACAGTGGGTGGGAACTGGTTTCTTTCTGATTGTGTTACTTGTCATAGAATCATGGAAGGGAGTAGAGTGGAGGGGGCCTCAAAGACCATTCAGTTCCAACACCCTGCCAACATCTAACCTAAATCCCCCCTCTTTTAGTTTACAGCCATTGCAAACTCCTTTTTGTCAGAACCTCACAGAGGCAGAAAACCATCTGCACCAACCACAATAATGCAGGTGAGGAAGCCCAGCACAACAACGCCCCGTGCTCCTTGCACAACAACATGCCCTGTTCCCCACAAAGCAGGACAAAAAGGTGAAAAACAACGACTGCAAAATAATGCTGGGCTCCTCAATCCTATAGAACCCAGGATCAGATGGAATATACCTGCAAGACAAAGTGCTGCACAAGTCTCTGAACGTTTACGCCGCACAAGATGAAAAACAATGGCATTTCATTGATGTCAGCATGTCAGCAGGATGGATGTCTGCTGCCCTCCACCAGATACAGCTTCCAGCTCCCCAATGTCTTATCCATCAATAGCACAGACTCCTTGAAGCTCAACAGGTGACTCATCCACAACCAAAAACCCAACCAGCCTCTGCCAGATGGCTGAGAAATATTGGGGGAGCCAAGAATAAAAGGCTGGGCTGGCGGAGGCCAACAGACCTACATTCAGCAGTGGGAACATGAGCAACCACCAAACTGGATGGGAGATGAGTTTTAAACCACGAGGGGACAGACTACCTTTAAACACAAGTAAGATGTGCCCCAGTGTGGTGCCCATATGCCACCCAGCCCCGTCACCCAGGGGTCCTGGGTGGGCTGCACACCTCTGGCATGGCAGCTGAAACCCCCAGGAGGGAACTTCTATCCTCAGCTGGCTGTAGCTACTCCTAATTTTAGACAAGCATCCCTAGCAAGTGGCTATTTACCAAACAGCTACTGAAGTGCCTTAGAGGAGAGCTGGGTGAGTCACAAAGCCTCTGCTCCAAGTGCCACCTCAGCACCATTTGCCATTTTTTCTACTACAGTTACAACTCACAGAGCAAAGCAGGCGAGATCCCCACCGCGCACCAAAAGTTGTTTTAAAAGACCAAGGAATGTATTACAAAATTATTTTATTAAAGGACTCGATTACTGGATAATCACTGGTACAAAAATAAAGCTAACAACACATTCTTCCTCTGGACTTCCTTCAGGAACAGCAATTGAAAGTCCAAAGTTGAATTTTACAGCAGTACTTGCACCGAAAACCAACAGGAGCTAAGTTCTGTTGACAGCACACGGCATTATGCATGAAGATTTATTAAATTTTCATGGAAGAAGGGATGCAAGGGCATCCTACAGAGGCACCGAACCCAGCTTCCTTCCTAGAAGTTATTTTCCGGGCTGCTTTCCAGATCATAAAAGGCTACAGCAAAATAAACTAAACTAAAATAAAAAAATATGAAAAAGAACCCAAAGCCTCCAGGGAGGCCAAACAGAATCTCCCAGGGCTCCCAACCCATGATCCTGTGGCCATTCATGCTTCAATTTCGTTACAAAGCTCAAAGCCTCCAGGTCTGAGCCTGCCAGAAGCCGAGCAGGTTGTGATAAATCTAAACAAAGCTGATTCAGGTTTGTGAGCAGCAGAAAAAAAACAGCAAATTCCAACACGACACCAAAATACCTAAAATTAAAAGCTGACATCTGTGCAGCTGACCAGTCACAGGGCTTAATAAAGCCAGTAATTAAAGCCTAATTACCACCAAGCATAAAAGCACTGTCTGGCAGGAGTTACAATGCAGCCTTTGCTCATCATCCCCTACAAGGTTTATGCCATGCATTAATGCATTATGCCACACATGTCATTGGATTTGTGGCAGGAAGAGCCCACTCACCACCAAGTCTGCACCTGACAATGTGAGAGCCCTACAAAAGGTGACACAAAGCTCTATCCCAGTGAACACGTGGAGAAAATGACGTATTAGATGATTTGACTCTACATCGTAACACTCAGCCATGTTGAAGGATACCAGAACCCCAAAGAAAGGCAGCGTGATCCAAATCCATGATGAACAAGGTCAAAACCTCAAAGAAAGTCAACGTGATCCTCATCCATGGTGGATGAGACCAAAACCCCAAAGAAAGTCAGCGTGATCCTCATCCATGATGGACGAGGTCAAAACCCCAAAGAAAGTCAATGTGATCCTCATCCAAAGTGGACAAAACCAAAACCCAAAACAAAGTCAACATGATCCTCATCCATGATGGACGAGACCAAAACCCCAAAGTCAACATGATCTTCATCTATGGTGGACAAGACCAAAATCCCAAAGGAAGTCAGTATGGTCCTTATCCACGACAAATGAGATCAAAACCCCAAAGAAAGTCAACGTGATCCTCATCCATGATGGATGAGACCAAAACCCCAAAGGAAGTCAACGTGATCCTCACCCATGGGGGAAAGGACGAAACACCCAAAGAAAGTCAATGTGATCCTCATCCATGGGGGTAAGGACCAAACACCCAAAGAAAGTCAACGTGATCCTCATCCATGATGGATGAAACCAAAACCCCAAAGAAAGTCAACGTGATCCCCATCCATGATGAAGTCAAAACCCCAAAGAAAGTCAGTGTGATCCTTTGCCATGATGGACAAAAACAAATCCCAAAGAAAGTCAATACAATCCTTAACTATCCTGGACAAGACCAAAATCCTAAAGAAAATTAATGTGATCCCCAGCCATGATGGAGAAGACAAAAACTCCAACGAAAATCAACGTGATTCTCAACCCTCCAAAGCAGCCGCCACAGTCAGGCACTTCCCCTTTCCCACAAATGTTCTACCAGACATTAAAAAAATAGAAAACGGAACGACTTCTCATCCGTTTCCCCACTGTCAGGACATGAAAAGAGCAACCCCACCGCTCTAAGGATGAGCAACGTGCTACAGATGGCACAACGGCCAAGGCAACACCGAAGCACAAATGCATAGAACTGTGAAAAATGACACAAATCATCCAGCCAGCAGTGAGGCCAGCACCTCAAAGACAGAAGCACACCATGCCAAAAGGTCTCAAATTCTGGAAACAGCGAAGGGCGCTCGAGATGGGGGGAGCAGAGACCCAAATCTTGAAGGTATGCACAGAAAATGTTTCTGCACGTCATCAAAATTAGCAGCAGATGCAAAAGAGCTCTTCCTGTGCATGCTTAGGGTGGGGATTTTGTGCTCTGTGATGGTTATTTATGGTTCCCAATCCTAAACAGCTCAGGAAGCAGTGGGAGCCCCGTGGCCACAGCGTGGCCTAATAAGAAGGGGGAGGAGGAATAAAGGGAAGAAGTTCAAAAGAAAAAAAAAAGGGGGGGGACACAAACTAAAAAAGGGGAGAACAGGGGGAAAATAAAAAAGAGGAGAGGGGAGGAAAATGGGGGGGAAATATAAAAAGTGAAAAAAGAAAAAAATTAAATGGGGGAAAAAGTTTAAAACAAAATAAATAAATAAAGTAAAAAAACTTAACAGGAAGGAAAAGGGGGGAAACTTAAAAGGAGGAAACATTAAAAGAAAAAAAAAAGAGTGGAAAAAAAGGAAAAAAAATAAAGAGGGAAAAAAAATTTCAAGGGAGGATAAAAGAAAAAAAAGGGGGAAAATAAAATAAGGAGGGAATGAAAAAAAAGGGGGAAACTTAGAAAAGGATTAAAAATGGAGGGAGAGAATAACAAGGGAGATTAAAAAAAAAAGTAAAAAAAATGCTAAAGAGAAAAAAAAACAAGGGAAAATTAAAAAATTAAAAAGGGGGAAAAATAAAAGGAGAAAGTTAAAAAAAAGGGGGAAAAATAAAAAGGAAAAAATAAGGAAAAACAAAAACAGGAAAGGAAAAACAAAAAAGGAAAAAATAAAACGGGAAATGCAAAAAAAGGGAAAAGCAAAAAAATTAAATAAAAAGGGAAAGCAAAAAAAAAAGGGGGAAAAGCAAAAAAAAAAAAAAAGGGGGGGGGG